AAATCAAGTTTCAAAGTCAATTGAGAAAGTTTTATGCGCGAGTGAAAGAAAAAAAAGTTTTTTTTTTATTTTCAATTTAGCCATTTTCTCACAAAAAATGGATGTGACTGTAAAAGAACAAAGATAATTCTCATCATTAATAGCTCATTTATCTCAATTTTATGTGCCTAATTTTTGCATTTTTAAAAATAAATCGAGTAAGGAAATTGAGATATCAATTGATACTCATAAACTCATTCTACGCTTCCTTCTTGCTAACTTCAGATACATAATAATGAAATTGAGTTCTTATTAATACCGTGAACATTTTCTTTTCTTCTTTCCTCTTCCTTTCCTTTTTCGGAAAATTCTTTTCACATAAAAAAAAAATCGAGAGAGAGAAAAAAAATTCGAAACGGAAAAAATATCGATCGACTATTTTTTTCTTCTTTTTCATCACGAAAAAAAAAATCTCTTTTTATGTATATTCTATTCAGTCGCTCATAAAATATACGCAAACATAAACATATAAGATGAAAATGAATATTGAGTGAGTAAAAGAGCAAGCGAGACATGTGTGTATAGTTATTCATTTCTTTAAAGCATGAATACATGACAGTTGGAATTAGTATTTTTTAATTTTTTGGGAGGGAGTTGAAGACGGAAGAGATTGTAAGAGACAATTGCCATGAGATGACGCGTCTGTGTTTAATGCATTATATACAAATTTACAATGCTGCTTCCTTTTTGCTTTCTCAGATTTTATTTCATGAAATATGAGAAGAGAAATTAGATTTATGAGAATTGTTGGAGGTTCCTTGACAGTGCCTTCTATTTTTATCTTACGACTTTTTCTTCCCCAAATCTCATGACTTCCTACATTATGATGAATAACTTTTTTGTTGTGGGAGTATTCTAAGGAAACAGCATAAATAAAGACATCCAAAATTCTCTAGACATGAAAAGGATGATTGTGGATTAAAAAATAACGAATTCAACTTTAAAATCCACTTTTATAAAATTGAACATTCTTGTTAAGAAATATAATTTTCACCGTGGATGAGATTTTTGAAGCATTTCATTGCATTTATGACTTTTATGAAAGTATGATAGTGTTAAAGAAGTGGCACTCAAGCTTAAGAATACTCACGATTTTCTTTATTTTCTTTTGATGTGTCTTTTCGTCCTTTCACATTCTCTTTCTTCTTCATCTAATTATACAGCAGCTAAGAATAATAAAATGAGCGTTATGAACTTACAATCTTTAAAAGTTCAAGCTAGCGGGTGTCTTGGGACGTGTCATTAAGTTATGATGTACAACATTTAATGATGAGATGTTTAAAGCTGTGATGGATTTTTTGACAAGCTTAAGGGGGGTCTGGTTCTCATCTGGTTCCTAATCAAACGATAAAGTATCGATATTAATCTCCAATTATTGAGAACATGTGCTAGGACTTGGAATATTCAAAATTACTTAAATGATTTAATCATCACCTTATCATTGATTTAAATCAACTCCATTCCTACTATTCAAACCGAAAATATATAAATTAAATTACTTTATAGCATTGCTCTTGAAAAGCTTTCGAAAATTAAGGAAGTTCATAAGAAGTTAAAGCTATTGTCTAAATATATCCATAAAATACTCATTTAATCACTAGGTCAATCTAATAAAAAAGTCAAAATAGTAAAAAATATGTTTTACGGATTCACAAACGATTATGTGCTTAATGACTCGAATAATTTCATTCACAAAGTTTTATATTTCATACAACAACAACAACAAACATGCCAAAAGCATCATCATCATTAATAAATCTTTATGTCATTTTTTTATAGTGTGGTGTAATAGAAATTTGCAGAAAAAATGGAAGAAATAATTGAAAAAAGTTGAAAATGAATGATTGAAGGAATCATGACAATATCAAAAATAGAAATAATTGTTTTATGATGATAAAAAGTACAATTGAAGTGTAAAGTTTGACAATTTTTTTTCTCCTTCACGCAAGAGCAAAACAGCCAGAGTATTGGGATATAAAGAAATAAGAATAAGAAGAAGGAAATCAAGTGAAGAGATATAAAATATATATATATATAAAAAAAAGTGAGAAAATAGAGAGAAATTTTTTTATGAATGAATTCAGAAGCAAAATACATCGGTTGATATTTCGTCAATTGAGTGGAGTTTTCGATTCGACACTAATCCACAATAAGTGCCGAATCGTAGACCCATTAATCTAATGCAGTGGCGTAAATTTACACGACTGAAAACATCGGCTACAGGTATGTGCATCAGCATTATTATTTATTATTATATAATTTATTTTAATGAACAATAAATTTAATGCAATAAGTTCACTTGACATTAAATTTGCACTTTACACTTGCTGTAAGTGGCAGGTGACAATTCTTTTGTTCAACATTTCTCGAATAAGGTGAAAAGTAGTTCAATTTTTTTCATATAATCCACGACCCTTGTCGATATTAAATGCTAGAATTTGTAAAGATTTTATCTGATATAATGAGCTACTTATTCATCTACTTCACTTTCTCTTTACTATTCTATAATAATTTTTTATGAGCTGTTTCTACCGCTACATAAAGTTCAGTTCCGGTGTTAATATCATGCAATTTATTCACAATTTGCCTTAGGTTTGCATAGCAGTTCAGTGGCACAGAAGTTTTCTTAAGAGTTCGAAACTCAATAAAGATGATGAATCTCATTTCTAATCATAATCCAGAAATGATTGTCTTTGAAAACAAAAGATTAAAAGATTGTTAGAAGAACCATTGATCGAGTCTTAAAGCATAGCTAAACATTTAATTCAATTCAAAGATGTTCTTTAATATTGAAACTTGTGCATCATAATTTAAACTGTTCAAATAAAAGATAAAATTATTTCATGCAAAGTTAATGTCATTTTTTGGATTTTTTGAAGATTTCTGATTATTTGAATTTCAAAATAATAACAAGACATAAAATTTACAAATAAAATAAATCTGAAATTTTAGAATTTCCAACAAATATTTGCACGAAAAGCATTAGCTTATGTAAATTTAAAATGCAATAGCAAAAAAGCATGGATTAAAGCCTTGAACTAATTTTTAACATTTATGTAAATTTCCTTCCTTGTAGGTTAATCTTTCTCGTTCGTAAATCTAGCCTTCTTATTAGGTCTATTTATAAATTCGTTCAAAGTTCATTCAGTCTGAAAAAAATAAACGAAAATTTAAAGTTTATTCAAAACAGTTTTAAAGATTTGAATGTTTAATATTTACAAAATTTTTTAAGAAATCTTTATTTTGTTCTCAAAATGATTCTGACAATCTATTGATCAAGTATTATCTTTTAAATCTTATTGTCAAGTGAAATGGAAGCTTTAATTTAAACCATATTTTCTTTTGAATCTCATAACACTTAATCAATCAAATGTAATTTTATCTTTCTTTTCATTTACAGGACATTCCCGTTGCAAGGCAATGCTTTGTTGCGGCAGAAGAAAGGTATGCAATTGATTTTTATTATATAAAGAAATAAATCTATAGTTGGAATCGTAATAATGATGGAAAGAAAGCATAAATAGATTTGTAAGTCTGTTCTACTTAAAAGACATTAAATAAGAACTAGAAAATGCACTTCTGTATTGTAAGGGGCAAATAAAGGAGAAAATGAGGACATTTAGCAATTTTTTTTCATTTATTTTCTCACAATATGAATCATGCCTAATCATTCATGTACAAATACGATACATTTTCTCACACTTGATATAAATGAATGCAACGAACAAGGATATAAAAAAAACGATGCAATTCCTCTGTGGTATATAATAGTATTTTTTTTCATCCAACAAACAACGAAAGTTCTTTTCTCCTTTTTTTTGTATGCTTGCCTGTCGAGTTGATTGCACTTAAAGAGTAGATGTACAAATACATGTAAAACTGCATATAGGTGAACTGAATGTAACGTATTTGTACAGTCGTGCAGCTTTGCATTTTACTCTCATATCACTTATAAATTAAAAGTCCTCTCTCGCTCGCTTTCTCTCATAAAAGGTTAAAATAATGAATAAAATTAGTATACAAACGATCCATAATGCGCATGTGCTCGTACACATTTCACACACATTTTGTACAACTAAAGAGATGAGAAAAAATAATATAGCGTACGAAAAAGCTTCGTACACACAAAATAATGAAGTACTAGAATTTTTGAAGAACTTTTCTTTTTTCCTTAACCATAGAAACTTTTCAGAGGATTTTAAGGCAAAGGAAAAAAAATTCACATTCGCCATCTTTTTTCCCACTGCGATAGAAATTGTTTTTTTGTTGAGAGAAAAATTATTTTATATTCTAAATTTTATTGCTTAATTAAAGCGTTAAAAAGTGTTTTTTAAAAAAAATATTAAAATAAGATGCGATAAAGTATTAAGTGAAATTAGGAATGATAGCAATAATTTTAATTGAAAAAAATAAAAGTTTTTTGAGTGATGAAAATTAAGAAATTAAAAAAAAACTTGCTCAATGGAAGTGAACTTAATGAAGCTTAATTAGATGACAGATACATATCATAACATAGAAACTTAATATTGTCCTTTTTAACAATCCAACATTCACTATTCTATATAAGAATTTAAGAACATTTTTTTCGTGTAAATCGATATTAACTTAGATCCTTAAAAAGTCCCATTTTTAACTCCAATCCTGAGAGATATACAAAAACTTACTATCGTCTATGTAATATGTGATAAAAATTAATTAATAAGAATACTTTTTGCCAATTATGAAGCAACATAAGAATAATCACAATCATGTTAAAATCCTCCTATTTAACATATCAAAGAGATGAAATTAATTTTTTGTACGATTCGAAAAGTAATAAAAGAAATTCTTGTGTAAGGGAGAAGTACAAAAGGAAAAGCTTTTCATTCAAGCGAATCAGTTAAAAAGTGTGGAAATAAAAAAAAAATCTAGATAGTAAAAATTTTCCGCCTTCTCTCTCTCACGCTTTTTTTCCCCGTCTCCTAATTTCCAATCGTCCTTCACCACTTTCATTTTATTCGTCATCGTAATAACAAGAGAATAAAATAAAATAAAATAAGCGATGTGTGATAGTACAAAAAGTGGATGCTTCTTTATCAGAGGCAGTAAGGTAAAAATAATGAAATTACAACCTAACAATTGGATGTGTACTCGATGTGTGTATATCCAGCATAAATGAACAATACAGAAGAAATGAGCGTTGAATAATTAATTAGAAATGTTTGCGATTATTGTGAATGTTGAATGGAATTGTATAGTGTACATAAGTGCAAAATATAGTTGTACAAGTCCACTAATGTATATAATTGAAAGTTTGTAGTAGAAATGGCAGCTCTAATGAGTCCTAAATTGCTACTTAACTATGAAATTGGAGGAAGTTTTCTTTTTTGCCTCAATGCAAATGATTTTGTGTGAATAATAAGATGACTCATTCAAATGTCCTCAAACACTGTAATCATTTGAAATTTTGAGCAACTTTCAAGTGAATGCTTAAAGACGTTGCTTTTACGAGGCTTTAATAATTGCAGATTTGAGAATTCTGGTTCTAACAATCAAAGAATCTTTAAACACACATTGACTTCTTTAATAATCGAAATTGAGTTCAAATCTTACATTTAAAGAATGCAGCGTGTCATTAAATCTTCAAATGGTGTCTAGTTGCTAAACTCGAGTGCAGGATATGTTTGAGGAAGACTGCATTCATCCAAGAATTTAATTTATATGTCGAGTACTCTAAAACAGCATATTTATTTATTGAGGTTTTAATAGGCAATAAAACTGGTCATATTGCACTACAGACACTCTATAATCGTATCCTTATTATCTATTAAGGATGGAACTTCATCATCCTTAAATTTTTCCTTTAATATTTCCTCAGCGACTGTTAAAAATGCTTTACAGCTCCATGATACCCATTCACAAAACATTAAACTAATGAAAAAATATTATTTTTTTTAAATATTCCAGGATAATGGCAGATCAGTACCAGATCTCACAGCGAGTCCCGGTCGGGCACCACACCCGGGACCAAATAACATTCAAAATCAGCAAAATGCACATATGCAAAGACAAGGTGGTATGAAGGAGCCAGTATTGTTACAGGGTGATTTTCGAAAAGTATCTGGCATAAGCTCCGAAATTTTTCGACAAATAGAAGCAGTTGAAAATGATCATGATCCAAGCACAGCTGCAGCATTGGATGTAATATCCCACACATATATATATATATGTTCTTATTAGATAAATCCACATAATGCCATTTCATTATCTTCTTTTATGTAGGCTGTTGAGAGACGTGGGGAGATGATTGTGAGAGTATTGGAACCACGCTGTATTGGAAGTCGTCAATCATATGAATCAGCGCAAAAGTTTTTAGCAAAAGCTGACTCCCGTCATACGGTACAGATGGTTGAGATTGTTAAACGCCCTGGACAGACATTAGGTAAATTATTTACTTATTAATTTAATGCTTATCCATAAATTAATATTTGTTTATGTATTTTTAAAGGTCTCTACATTCGAGAAGGAAATGGCGCAGATCGCTCCGATGGCGTCTTTATATCACGTATAGCTTTGGAATCCGCAGTTTATAATAGTGGATGTCTGCGAGTGAGTGATGAAATACTCGCAGTAAATTTAGTAGATGTTACAAAAATGTCATTAGATGATGTTGTAATAATCATGTCTATTCCACGCCGTTTGGTGCTGGCAATAAGAACACGAAGAGGTCGTTCAACTTCTCCCCCGCCACTACAACGTTCGGAACAAAAACCGCCAGTTGTTGTTATAAAGCGTGATTTACGGGATGATCAAGATATGATGTTAGATGAACCGGATCATATGCCACGTTCTAGATCATCACGCGAACGTCGCGATGGAAGGGAGATGAGTGAATCGAGGTCGAGACTAGGACTTGGTCTTACTAATTATAGTCCACAAAGTGAACAAATAGATTTGTATTATAATTCACGCTCAAGCACTGTTGATCAGCATACCCCAAATTGGGGTTATAAGCCACCAGCACCACCATCTGTAATAACGGAGCAACCAAAAGGTGCTCATCAATTTCAACCATCACACGCTTATTATCAAAATGCAGGAACTCTCGAAAGTCTTGCTGAGAAAGTTCACCAATTCTATCCTGGACCGAGTCGACGAATGTCTGACACAAGAGCAGGAGTATCTATGAGTCAATCGCATCAAAGATTTCCACGTTCAGGATCAGCAGATATTCTTCCTCGCGTAGAATATTCCGACTTTTCTGCATCACTTGGACGACATTCGTTCTTAAGATCAAGCATGAAGTCAGGACAAGCACCATCACCACAAGCACAACTTGCAGGCGGCACATTAGGACGATATGGACCCCGTTATGATCAACAATCATCAAGAAATGCAATTAAATATTCGTCGCCTACATCGTCAGCAACATTAGGACGACAAAAGCCTCCACTTGATTACTCGAGTGATACAGAAGCAACAATAGGTCGTCAAAATTATTACTATTATAATAATCGACCGAGTGGAACAATGGGACGAGGAGGTACGGCACCAACAGCACCCCTTACTAGTGGAGCTGACTTTGCAAAATTCAATTCACTGCCAAGAAATCGTAATGATGCATTAGCAAGAATGAATTTAAGATCACGCTTAGTTGATAGAATAGGAAGTGAAGACGATGGAAATTTATCGGCTCCAGAATATTCACTGCCAACCATTCGCCGGGATCGAGGTAAGAACTCTTTATATCTGGGAAATATCCAACGACTGCAAACAAGAACTTCCGTTGAAAATATTTGTTTACATTTCTTAGTCTTTATTGAATTTATAAGATTTCATTTTGTTTTTAAAATGGTCAGAAATTGTGTAATTACTGGTTGTAAAGGAAGGAAAACCAATACGTTTGTTTGAACTTCCAAAAAGCTCTGTGCATAAAGATAAGTGGATTGAATTTCTTAAATTGCATAAAATTGAATATTGCTGTGAAAAAAAATATTTCTTGTGTATTCTTGAATTTATTTATAGACAGCTTAATTGTTTTACCTTATGTTCTGATCCTTCTTTTAACCAGAAATTCATTAATACAGTAATTGCACAAATTGAAGTCGATTTTGAACATTGTCAAGATACAATTGATAAATTATTAAAAGTTTTTGTTGAATTTAGAGTAAAATTACAATCATTACCTAACGATCAATTATTTTTTTAAAAAATTTTATAGTTCGAAACAGTTCAAAATTTTTCGAATTTCAGTTTGAATTTTTCGAATCAAACTGAAGTTTTCTTTGTTTGCAGTCGTTGGGGAAATATGTTACAAAATTGATTAAAAATCATTTTGTTGCAGATTTGCGACAGAGAATATCCACAAATCCTTCAATTTTTACTTCAGATGAGTACCGAGCGTGGCTGAGACGAGCACCAAGCAGTTCGGCAATTTGTGAGCAGATGAGAGCATCACGTGATATTTTGAATCAGCAGAGAGCCCATAGATTTTCATGCAGCGCTGAGAACATCCATGATGCACTGAAGAATGTAAGTAGCCATCTATTAACAGTTATATTCACTTATGTTTAGAGTCTCACGATTTCCCGGTCCCGAAGGATTTTCGGGACACGGGACGGGAATTTTCGGGAATCATCGGGACGGGACAGAGAAAAAAAAATTCTTTTTAAAATAACCGTTTTTCACATACATATGAGCTTAAAACATTCTTTTTAAATGAGATATTTCATTTAGAAATGGAATATGTATACTTTTTACATTCTTAACTGTATAACTGAAACCGTAAAAAATTTATTTATCAACGATACCAAACATCTTTAGAAAATTCTTACATATACACTTGCAGGCTAGCTTCAAAATTTGTCAAAACATACTCTTTTTTACTTAATATAACGTTAAATATCGAAGTGCAATATAAATTTTTTGATTGTTTCTTTTAAAATTATATCAAAAGCAACTTCATAAAACGATATACCGCTGAATTTTTTTTTAAAAATCTCCAATTTTTACACTCTCTTTTTAAATTTATTGCTTAAATTTTTACAAATATTTGAATTAGTTTTGATTATTACTACATTTTTTTTTTTGTTTTGATTTGTTTGATTTATTTGTATATAATTTTGCAATTGAGATACAAAATAGAAATTCTTATGACTAGCTATATCACATTACATTTTATTAATTTCACAATAAGATTCGTGAAAATGCTCCTTAATTCTAGTTTTAAATATATTTATTGTGAACTTATTCTTCAGACTACCGCCATTTTATATAACATCCGTTAAATTTATATTCAAAAAAATTCAATTTTTTTATGACCGTTATAATATTCAAAAATTTTTGACGGTTAAACCAGATTTTACCATGCACTTACAAATTTTGCTTAAATTTTATTGTTAATAAAGTTGAGAATGGATAAAAAAAATATAAAATTAATAATTTATGAAGAACTTTGGGATTTGTGCAGAATTGGTATTAATTAAAATAATTTATTGTTTACATAATGTAATTGTTTTTTGAAATTTGAATTTTCGGCTCTAATATTGAAGAAATCGAAATTAATTTCGAAGAAGTTCGAAACGAAATGGCGGTAGTCTGTTATTCTTAACCAATGGAGGTAGAGAATTAAATAAATTAAATGCTCTAACGTAAAAATCCTGATTGCTTAGGTGCGTTTGATAGTTGGGAGTTACAAAATTTTCTCGGGTACGCGTTCGATATCTATGAATATCATTGACTTGTCTAATCTGAATGTTATTCTTAACCATATTCGATGATATTTTAAAAGCATGCAAGCAAAGATTGACGTTACAGAGTGTCGACACTGGAAAGATATTTATACTATATAATTCCTTTTTTGCTACAGAACCAGTCCTTATTAAAGAGGATCCTTAGTGCTTTTCTTTGTGTAACTTCGATCATGTTCATCGCGTATGCAGGTGCTGCTGACCATATGATATTCATATAAATAAGTCTTGATTGAATAAAAGCAAAGTAGAGCATTAGTGCTGTTTTTTGTGAGATTGATTTTCTTACTCTTTTGACTGCATATGCAAAAGGTATGACCTTTTTCTGGATTTCTTCAATATGCTTATTAAAACTTAGTGACTCATCTAGAATTAAACCTAATAATCTGCAGCTATCGACACGTTCTAGAGTAATTCCTCTGAATTTTAAATTTAATGCAGCTTCTGTAAAGTTCTCGTGCTGTTTCTTATTGTGAAAGCAGAGGTATTTCGTTTTTGAAATATTGGGAGTTAAAATATGAAGATCCAACCAATCACTAATTTTCTTTAAATCTTTTTCAATATTGAATTTTAATTCCGCAGCGTTGCTTCCTGTATTAATTAAACTTATATCATCACAATATAAAATAAGTGTCCCTGACAGATCTAAACTGAAAATACTATTAATGCACAAATCGAAAAACTCTCCTGATAAAATGCCGCCTTGTGGTGTTCCTTCTTTTATAAATTTAAAGCTACTGAGGATACTCCCGATTTTTACTGACTGTTTTCTGTTCTCTAGATATGATTTTATGACATTATAATATCAACCTGTAAAAGATATATTTTTAACTAACATTGTGGGCCTTCCTTGTGAGCATAGTAAAGAGCTTTTCTGAAAAATTGGTTGTGTTTGTTTTCTAGCGAAACAAAATATGATATATAAAGTTTTGATTTTTCAGAAATGTAATTAACCCTAATCCACAAATTTCTAGATCAGATCTAGATCTTTCATATATTAAAAATGACGGATCTAGATTTTTGTTGATTATAAAAATGCAAGAAATTTATGCAGTATCGTTCAAAACTTCTATGTTTGAAGAAAAATTTTCATTATGAAAATAAACAGCTACTTTTATTGATGGTAAAATTGATAAAAAAAATTGAAAAAAAACCCTGAAAGTTTATTAAAGTGCTGTAAGTAACAAACAATTTTGAATGTTTATGTTTGCAAGTAAGAAAATGTAAGTCTTTCCATTAAACTTCATCAAATTTTTTGCTATGAAATGACTCTATTAATTAACCACAACAAGTTTTCAGCCTTAATAAGTTAAATTACGTTTGCTTAAATGCAAACTTCAATTTAGCAAATTTTGGTAAAATTTTATGAAAACTTAACATGTGATTTAATATTCATATTTTAGTACTTTAATTATGTTTAGCATTATTGCATTATTCTGTCACGTTTTACTTCTATTTAACTTGAATAGACAAATTAAGTTTGGATAATTCTGTTTTGTAGCAAAATTTGGAAAAACTTATCAGCTCAAAAGTGTTTCCATGCGATGATAATATTTTGAGAAAAAAATCTGCTATAATTAAATATTTTCTCAAGTTGCTTATCATTTGTGAAGCTTTAAAATGATATATAATATCCTACAAAAATATTTTGCTTTATAACAAATATGAAAGAAAGATTTTTTTTTCAAATATGGAAATAGTTTTTAAAGATACTGTATATACATATATTTCTCGTTTTTAAATGGAAAACCTGGAAAATCATTTTATTATCAAGTTTTACGAATAATTCTGAAAAATTATCAGAAAAATACTTAGAAAATTATTTTTATTTGAAAGTTGTCCCGATTGTCCCGTCCCGTAAATTTTTCGGGAACTCGGGACGGGAAATTCCCGTTCCGAGAAAGCCTTCTTATGTCTAACAATGTTTTTAAATTATTTTAGACGGAAAACATTTACAGTGGAAGAGCTAGAATGTTGGGAACATTAGACAGAAATAGCATTGGATTAGGAGCACGATCTGGAATTGGCTCTCTTCCTGTGAGATCACTTTCATCGCAGCACATTGGTGGCCCATCATCAGCAATACGTTCCTCGCCTAATATTCGTCGAATGAGACAATTACTAGAATTAAGTACGGGAGCCGGAAATGTGCAATCGCCAGGAAGTATGAGTGGACATCAAAGTCCAGCACCAACACCAAGCACAACATTACCGAGAACTCAACGACAAATTGATATAAACCCTGCCGAGTTTACAAAATATAAGCTTGATAAGCCCATCATGGAGACACAAGGTACATCCGGTATGTTATGGCTGAATTTGTTAGCCGGTAGAGGATTGCGTGCAACCCCTGAAGGCATACAAACCACAAATACGCAAGTACGCGATCTATACTGTGTGATAGAATGCGATAGAGTTCATAAAGCACGAACCGTTGTACGGTCTGGTGATTTACAATTTGATTGGGATGAGTCATTTGAATTGGATTTGGTTAATAATAAGCAACTAGATGTTTTAATATACTCATGGGATCCACAACATCGACATAAATTGTGTTATCGTGGAGCGATTGCAATAACATCACTAATACGACAAGCACCAATACATCAGCTTGCATTAAAAGTTGAACCTAGAGGTACAATTTACTTAAGAATGCGCTATAACGATCCATTACAATTGTATCGTCGTCGAGGTGTACCAGCACTTAGAGGTGGTGTTTCAACAGCTTTATTTGGTGTTGATCTCGAAACAGTTGTCACACGAGAGGCTAAAGGAGCACCAGGAAATGCACCCGTACCAATAGTGTTGAGACGATGTGTTGAGGAAATTGAACGTCGAGGATTAGACATAATTGGACTTTATCGACTATGTGGATCGGCCACAAAGAAACGATTACTACGAGAAGCTTTCGAACGAAATAGTCGAGCTGTTGAACTAAGTCCTGAACATATACCAGATATAAATGTTATAACCGGTGTTATAAAAGATTATCTACGCGAACTTCCAGAACCTTTGTTTACTCGTTGTTTATTCCAAATGACTGTTGATGCGTTAGGTGTATGCTTACCTGATGATCCCGAAGGAAATGCAAAATTAATGTTGAGCATTCTAGACTGTTTACCACGAGCTAATAGAGTAAGTTCTCTTTGCATTATTAATTATTAGGCTTGTTGTGCTAATTTGTATAATTTATTTTATAGGCAACTTTAGTATTCTTACTTGATCATTTGTCGTTGGTTGTATCGGCGTCAGAGAGAAATAAAATGTCAGCTCAGGCATTAGCTACAGCTCTAGGTCCACCTTTAATGTTACATTCAAGTGGTGCACCCACAGATATTGACATAGATCATGCACAACCAATAGCCGTACTAAAGTACTTATTACAAATTTGGCCACAGCCAGCAACGGCTGCAAATATTTCAGGTAATGTGGTTAGGTTACTACAATTCCTTATGTTCCTGCATGCTAGTTAATTGTCTCTAAATATTATTTAATATTTCTAACAATTAGAGCTAGGAAATATTAATGATTAATACAGAGACTTATGTATTCTTAGACAGGCATGCAACGGCACGCCAACGAGCAGCGAACAGGTCAGCGTGGAAGCAAAGTCAATGCATTGCAAGTGGCCAAACAACATCTAGTGGTAGTCAACAATACAGCCACATCGCTCGCTCGAACTCAGCTTTCAGTCACAGTCAGCAATCCTCAGTTTCAATCAGCAGTGGGTCAGTTAGCTCAATCGCATCGAGTCTTACAGCCGGTGGCTCAAACGGTAAAAACTTTCTATTCTATTTTGTCATATTGACTAAGTTAATTAATTATCAATTTTTTTCTTTACATAAGTCACTGCAGTTGGTAGCCTCGTCGGGCTCATTGGCAGTGCAAGACCAATCGCAACCGCTCGCCACACCATCCCCAAGCTCTAGTTCGGCATCATCAGACTCTGGCTCTGGTAAGCATAAGAATATTCTTTAATTTAAAGCAACAGTTTTATTAATTTTGATATTTTTAGGAACTGAAACAATAAAACGAGGTGCATCACCTCCCACAAGTATCACAGATTCAAACACAATATTAAAAGAGTCAAATAGTAGCAACTCAATCAAGCAACAATCTCAAGAACAACACAAATCATCAACAATAAAGCAACAATTCGATACAAAAGATGAGACAACAAAAAGACATCACATTACAGAAAGCAGTACAAGTGGACCAACAACACAATCGTATGACATGTCTGCATACACCAAAAATTCTATGCTACCTTCTACTTCATCAGTATCATCAAATGCTAATCATCAGTATAAGCATTATTCTAGCATAAGTACAACAAAGTCATCACCAATTGACAAGTATACTAATAGTGTTGGAACCAGTAATGGTAAAAGTGAAATTTCTAAGGAATTGACATCTATAAAAAAGAATGGCGATCATGATGATATTACTTTATATAAACCAAGTTCGTACTCAACATCCTCAATGATAGCTGGAACTTCATCATCATCAAGTGCTAGTACTGATGCAAAAAAGGCAGAATTATCGTCATCAGCAGCAGCGAACACATCAACGACAGTCACGACAAATGGAAAGCATAAAATCACAAATAATTTTAAGCTTCCTCCATTCCCAATTTATGTACCACCAACAGATTTACCATTGCATCTAACATCGTCTACAAGTTCTTTAGCAGGTCTAAGTAGCAAGAATGAGCCAACATCGACTGCATTCTCGGGAACGAGTAAGTATAGCGATTCATTAACATCATCTACAACATCGGCATCCTATTCAACGACATTGGGTCGATTATCAAACGTTTCATCATCTAGAACAATAACTAATAGTGCTAATACACCAAATACAAACACATTACCGTTACATTTAGGTAGAACTAATCCATACTTATATCAATCAGATTCAAATAATTTTAATAATGCAACTGCAACATCATCAATAAGTCCAGCGACCACAACATCATCATATTTAAGTCAATCAAATTATAATAACATTTATAGTACTTTGCCCAAAACAACCGGCTCATCTTCATCTACAAGTAAATTTGATACTATGACTAAAGATAATAATGGTTCGTCGGGTGCAGGCCCTTCTTCTTATTCATATAATTCGTATAGTACTGATTATTATTCTAATCTTGCAACGACAAATAATAATAACACATCAAGTAATACATCGACTTATACAAGTAGTAATGTATCTGAAAATATTTATAGGGTACAATATTCAGCGACTAATCCCTTCCTCGATCCTATTGATACTAATGTAACCACACAGACGGCCTCTGACAATATGAGTTCAATTTTTACCGCAACACGTAATGGCAATAGTGGTAGTAGTAGCATGAGCGTCTCAGAAATAGCACGAAAATTTGAAAAACTCGATAGTGAAGAAGATTTGAAATAATGATAACTAATTAAAATACATATAACATACTAATTCATTCATTCAATCTCAAAAATATATAAAACATACCTTTTTCTCCCCGATCAGTATCAGTTTTTGGCCAAATTATTTTTTAAAAAAAAATACATACGATATTCCTACCTTAAAGCGCAAAACGAAGTCATTCTTATAAAAACAAATATCTTTCAATATATTTAGAGAAAAAAAAATCAATGTCACAAAAAAAGAGAGACGAAGTGTTTAGATTCTTGGCATATATAAAACAAATTTATCTCCTCCATCCTCTTGTCTACCTATCTCTTTTTCATTCCTCCCTTTCTCAAAAAAAAAAAGCTTTAATTGTAATAGAGAATGAATACTATATATATTATATATAATGATCATGATGATATCTGATAATACTTAGCAAATAATAATCAATTACAATTTTTAGTGACTTTTCTTTACAAAGAATACAATACTAAATTAAAAATAATAATATTAAAAACTAATAATACATAACAATAATAATGAATTTACCAAAGATACCGAGATAGTATTACTTTCTGGATAATATAAATATTTCGAAAATGATAAGTCCATCATCGATCGATTAACTTTCAATTACTTAACAAAAATGACAAATATGGGAGAAGCATTTAAGAATCCATTTTTAAGCGAAATTCATTACTATCAATACTGTTGTGAAGCTGAAAAGTTTTTAAAATGAGGTTTTACAAAAATGTCGAAAATCCATAACTGCCATAGTTTTTTTTCCAAACTTTTTCAATATTTACTCATATTTACCGTAATATACAAACTTATATAAATTTTTAAAAAAAACTCAAAATACCTTGAACAATAAGCTTTCATCTTTACTGATTGAACTTGAGAGAAAGACAATTTTCAATAATAATTCTTTGATTGAAAGTCAAAATATCTTCAAATTTGTCAAAAATTACAATTATGATTTTAATAAAGGTTTCAGATCTTTTATTAAAGATTTGTAGCTTCGAAATCTATTCAGATTCGTTCGTTTTAAACGAAAAAAAAATACTTTGTGTCATAACGTTCATTTGTAATTTAAATTGTACTTATTTGTAAAACAGTTGTTTGTCCCCTTTAATATAAACATGCAGCCTGTTTACAAACTCCGAAGAATAAAGACGGTTTTATTACAATAAAACCGTTTGGCATGTTTTAATTTAACTATAATTACAAAACTTTGCTTTTTCATTTCATTCTTAAATTAAAAAGACTACACAAATATATAAAAATTCTAGACAATATCAAAATTTCAGCTATCAGCTATAATTGTTAAAATAGAATTTAACTTTTTCGAAAGAAACTCTTTCAATTTTTTTTTATTCCAAAAGAATTGAAAACCAAAGAACTTTGCAATCAATAGAATTTGTTATCAGAAAATTCTCTTCCATTTCAAACTTACAAACCAAAAAAAAAGCCATCAAAAACTTTTCAATTTCACAACAAATAATCCATTCCTACTGTATGCCCTATCAGTTATCACAACTTCAAACTGAAAAGAAATTTCTAAGAGTTCAATAAAAATAAACTTAAAAATAAACTTAAAAAAAAACTTTATAAGATTAGAAATGATAGTGACAATACGTTAATAACAGCATTAAAAAATTTGTACAACTGGTATAAGTCAATGGCCATTTTGTGAAATGAAACAATTTTTCTTATATTTATTTCAATTTGTATTGAGCAGCTAGACCAAATTATATAAAAAAACGAGGAAGACAAATCAAATTTATACAGGAAGAATTTTACGCTTTTTTAAGAAAATGAAGACAAAAATAAAGCCATTACATCGCATCAAGTTTCTATTGATTCTTTTCCATTGAAAATTCGTATTAAAATCTAATAAAATGGACACATACAGCTCTCTCACGCTCTCTCTCTAAAACGCCCTTTCTTTTCTCTAGTTTTCGACTTAGTTTCAGTAGATTTTTTTATAAAATAAATATAAAATAAAAAGAAAATAGATTGAACGAAAATGATTAAAAATATGGAATCGAATGAATTAAACATGTATACATTATAGACACGCTATTATGCATGAGGAAAGTGAAGAATGCACTTAATTATTATCATTATCGATACATTACTCAAAATTACACTATAAAAATTGACGATGAGATATAAAAAAATATAGGTGCTTTATTTATCTTGTGGTGTAGAAAATTCTCAAACGATGTATTTTAAAAATTTGTGGTTGATATGCCTCCGTAATCAAAGTGGTTAAAGAAATCGTTCAAAATGTATTAATTTTTATTTTCTATTTAAATCTGTGGACGATTTGTTTTTGAGCCTATCCTTCATCATTTAATCTTTCTTATATAATTCAATCCTTTCCAAATATTTCAATAGTTTTATTATTTTTTTATACGAAATCTTCAATCAATAATATCGACTATTTAGTCATTTGGGTGTTGATTTTGTTATTTGATACTTTTTTTCGATACGATTATGTTTATGCTTGTGATTAGTAATCGAACTAATAGACGATGATGAAGAAACATAAAGTTCTTAACTTAACTCTTGACACTGAGTTAAACAACAACTCTTAATGTTCAAAAAGTATTAGGTTATAAACTTAGATTGAGATTAAAATGACTTTTAAAATATTAAAGAACGAATTTTCGAACGAATTTTGAAATTTGAACAATTCAGTTCAGATTGAGTTCTCAAACAAAAATCCCAAACTGGTCCTAGAAATGGATTTGAGTTGTGAAAAACTTCAAGTTAAGGACATATTGAAATTGAAATAAATCGTCGCTATTTTTCTTAAAGAATAGCAAATACAAAACCATCCATTAACAGTATCAAATAATGAAAATTTCCAATCCCAATATTTATTTGAATTCATCATTTCCCAATAGCGTGTAAAAACTAGCGTAAATCTCAAAATACAAATCAAACTTTGATTGCTGATAGAATTGATTTTTTTATACATTTCGTCAATCATAATCGGAAATAGAAATGTCAACATTGTTGTGGATACTCGTTTTAATCCTTTTATCTACATGTGTATAGAACAATGTTCAAATTGAGATTTAAACAAATATTTATTGAGATTTTAACAAATGAAAAAAAAGCAGAGGTTGATTTTGAAATTAATAGTAAATAAATTGATTGAATTATACTTATGATGAATGCGAATTGTCCTTAATAATTATTACGCGCTCAATTAATGATTTTTTTCATCTGAATAAAAGAAATTTCAAATTTGTCGAGGAAAAAAAAGTAAATTTGTGAATCAAAACAAAATCGTGATTTTAAAAGGCATTAGAATTTTTTGTCATATATTAATAGGATTGAAATTTTTTGGAAGGAAGCAAAATATTAAAAAAAAAAATAAATAACATAAAAATATATACCTAAATATTGTATCATTATAATCATTGTTGACATATGAATATATATATAAAATGTATAATGTTTTAAAGTATTTTTATGATTTTTGATGTGTCAGAGGTTTTAGTAAATTGATTAAATTTTTAGTAATTTCCAGTCAATTTAATGAAAATCTGATAATCAAAAGTGTTCTGCTTTTGTGAGGCTTATGTTCCCATACAAACTCTCTACTATGAATTATTCTGTTGTGGTTATTTATTATCATATATTGAGAATGTTGTTTCCCAATTGCATTTAATGCGTTCCATAAGCGATTCTTTTATAATATCAGATATATAATCTAATCTATAGTCCTTGAATATTGTACACTTTTCATGTATTTAACATTTATTTAGAATGATTATGAAGAAGAAGAAGAAGAATGGTGCCGATTAATTATTTAAACCTTCTATGTCACATAAATTATATTCATAACTTGTTGTTACACGTTTGTGAATATTATGATTGATTTTTAAATTATTATCCTTATTATGGATGAAAGCAATACTTATTTAAGTTTTAACTCAACTCTGCATTTAAACTGTGTATTAACCAACTGGATAGAAAAGGGTTTCTAGTGTCAACAGGATTGCATTTGTCGTGGATTGGAGAGCATCTAAATCGGAAATGACTAGAATTTTCGGAATGACTTCAAATCTTCTACTCAGAACTTGATCTGATAATCCAAGAAATAACTCCCTTCGTTAATGTTGTTTAGAAATCCTACACAAAGCTTCGTAAAACATTAAGTACCAAATATTCGCGTGTTTTTCTGCTACAATTTGAAGATGAAATGAATTCATGAGAAATGAATGGTCAAAGTTGTAAATTGTTATGACAATTTTCATTGAATTTATGATGTTGATGCTGTTTTGGCTTCTATATCGGCCCATCAAAAGAAAGATTCTTTTGAGAACGAAAATATGAAAATGTATTTTTTAATTTGGCGCTGGACAAAGTCTGCTGATGTTGTTTATATCACTGTCTCATATCGTATATTTAATGAAAAAAAAAAATTGAAAGCAGCATTTGACAAGATTCATAATATGGCTTTATACAAAAAATGAAAAAAACTAAAATAAAATTAACTTTTTAGATGAAAATACATGTTTATTGCACAATATTTCATAATAAACCGTCTTAATGATAGCAAATTGAACATATATAATGAAGAAAATTGGATGAAAAATAAAAATTTTTTAGATGCAAAAACTAATAATAAATAAAAAAAAACTAATGCATATTCGAAGCCTATGAATCATTAAAGAAACAAAAATTAAAAAATCTCTTTATGCGTTTTTCCTTTCTCAAGTTTTTCTCTTTCTATCTTTCTCCAGCGAAAATAAAAAAAAATGTTAAAAAAAATTAAAACAAATAAAAAAAGGAACAAGAAAAAAATCCAATAAAATTAGCAAATACACCAAAAAAATTTAAATTGAAGAAAAAATAATGATAACTCTTTCAATAAAATTTCAAGCTTTTGAGGGAGAAATTTTGATCAAAATTTATTCTGTGATTTAATCTTTAAAGTATTAAAGATGAATTGTGTTGACAAGTAAATTGCTGTCAACAGATCAGAAAACCCCTAATTTTAATTCATTAGATCTCAGAAAAGTTTTGCTCGATTTTTACTCTCCGCAGAAATTATGAAGTTAGAAATTTTGGAAATTTCTCACATTCAAATCTTTATTTCCAACTTCTCCAAATTTTCTTTTTGTATCTTTTGATTAGCAAATGTTTTAAACGAACTTTTGAGAAAATTAATTGTCATTATAAACATTTCTATCAACGGACTTTATTACTGTTTTATCAAATTTAAGACTGGTTATTTATACACTAATTTACACAAGTTGGACTTTTTAAACTTTAACTGCACAAACAATAGAAAGATCTCAAAAATATATATTTTAATTTTTATAAAATGGACAATTAATTTTTTCAAAACTTCAAACAATCTTTAACTCTGATTTGACTAGAAAGATTCAAAAAGAAGTAAATTCACATCTTTATCATTTTTGCGTAGGGAAAATATAAATATATTGTGGAAAAATATCATAATCGTAATGTTTTCGTGAAAGAAACTACGTAAAGGAATCAAAACCTATTCTATTTTGTTATGAGAAAAAGTACATTTACTTATGAGGAAGTGATATGTGCCGGGAGATGGATTGGATTTTTATAAAAGTGTAGATTATGGATTCTTTAACTTACTTTATGTAAATCTTAAGAAAATGATCAAATTTTTGAATTAATTGTTTTGTACTTTGGTATAAAGTATTAATACCTTCTCATCGATCTTGCTTGATTGCAATAAAAAATCAAATTGAAAATACTTCTTAGTTTTGGTGCCATTTTAACTTAAAAACCAAAAACTAAGAATCTTCTTAAAAAATCAAAAAAATTTAAATCATCTAAACCAAAATTATCTCAAGAAGACGCGCGAATAAAACTTATGAACACAAGTTAAATTATCATACCTATCCATCTCTTGGTAAATCAAAAAGTGAAGCAAAAAAACATATAAAATATAAAATTTGTCAATTTGAAAAACTATACACTAACATCAACTATCTAGGCTTTATAAAGCTTTCAAAAATCTGAAGAATTCTTTTCTAAAAACGCGATTATCTAATGGAAAAGCACAGATTCCAGTCAGAATTAAAATTAGTTGTTATTTCTCAAAATCTTTATTGATTTTTTGTTTTAAAAAAAATTATGCAATTTTTCCTTGCTAGACTTTCCGAAAGAAAAACAAAAAAAAAGTTTATTTTTGAACCATCGATAGTGATTCTTCTTGGAAAATAAAGTTATGGAATTTAAATACACACATTATGACGCTCTAAATGAAATGAATCTATATGAACTTAATACGTTAAATTATCTATTATCAAAAAAAAAAAAAAATAAGTATATAGAAAAAATGAAGAAAAAAAGTCCTATTGAAATTCGTTAGATGAAGAAATAAAATAAAAAAAAACATGTATGTAACGCCCTCACGATCCATCGATAGATTATATAACTTATAATAAACAACTGTTTTAACCAGTGCACAATGTTTAATTTTATTTTTACAAGAAGAAATGATTTGAAAGGAATTTTCTCTAAGGTTTTTTGGGAGGTTAGAATTTTCATTGTGGTCAGTCAAAGTCCTCAATTTTGTTTTTTGTTTCAATTTATCATTGGTTACTCCAAAGCAATTCGAATTCAATCCTTATGTAGTATCCAATAAAATACTTTTCAATAATGAAGGTAGATGCGCTTTGGAATTAATCATTAAGATTGAAATTAGCAATAAAATCAAGGGTTAAGGCAATGAAACTACTTTGAAAGTTCTATTTTTCCTTTTAAAAACTTCAGAAAACTATTCCTTATTAAGAATAAAATTGCAATCAATGAATTGAATATGTTAATTAGTTATAAATCATAAAGATGATTGTAAGACCATTGAATATGCATTTTTAACAGCGATTTATTCGTTTTTATATTTAATTTATAATTTGTTAAGTCTTAATTTCGTACGCATATTACTTTTCTTTATCATTTATTGAAAAAAAAAACATATAGGTATAAAAGAGAAGATTTAATCAATATGAAAATGAAATTTCAAAGAAGCAGTTATAATGATTAAGTTCTTTTTCAAATTAATACTCTATATTACACTTTACACTGCCACACAGATTTATAGCGTTTATACAATACAAAAAATGAAATAAATGAAATATAAATATAAAACTTTTAATGGGCGCGATAATTTATTGAATAAAAACTAAAATGAATTATTATAGTAAAATAAAAAAAAAGAATCATAGACTTTTCTTGTTTTCTTTACTTTTTACTTTACAGTTTCTGCAGTTGATTAAAATTGATTTTTAATCTTTTTTATTGCTTCCACATTTTGAGTTTTGTTCAAAGTTTAAAAAATCTCAGTCTTGTAAAGTACAAGCGATGTATGGATAGAGAGATTTAAAGAAAACGGAAGTATTTTACGAGAAATGATTTAACTCTGGATGAAACATTATGAATAGTTTCTAGTTTTATAGAATAGTTTTTAATAAAAAGATTCTACTGAGCTTTAAATTTATCATACAAAATATCAAGCAAATATTTGAGGGATGAGGTAAATCTATAAAATTCATTATTTTACTACCCTCTGCAAAAGAGCTTCGAACATCTCATTGAACGATGAGTCAGTGTATTCTCAAAATTTCACTTCAAAGGGGCTTATTACTTTTTGAGTAAATTTTTTGAAAATGATTCCGTTACATTAGTGATTTTTGGTGAAATTTATTCGAATAATTTAAGATAATTATTATTTAATATCAAGAGAATTTAATTAAGTTTCTAAAAGTATCAAAATTTAAAACACTTTAATTCATCAATTTAGAAATATTTCAATGTTTCGCGAAATTTCTTCTGAGAAGATTAAGAATCACCCTATTCGATCAATTCAAGTTGACGAGATTCTTTTTTAAAGCATGTCTTAAAGCGCATTTGATTAATATTCTTCCTTTAGTTAAAATCTCACTATATTACCAATTTTAAACATTAAGACTTGGTATAAAATGCACCTTCAATTAATTTGAGAAAATAATAGTTTCAACGACTTTTTTAAATTCAAACAGTTTTAACACCAAATGTAACGGTTAAAATAAATTCAAAATTTTGTAAACTCATTATTTAGAAACTTCAAAACAATAAAAACGTGTTTTTATTTCGTAAAGTTAAATAAATTAAAAATCAATACTTCAAAGCACTTTAGACAGCCAGAAGACAACGTGAATTGATCATCTCGTGTATATAAGTAGATAGAACTACAAATTCAGTTGCTCACTTTCCTAGAAACGGCATTTTTCGATTAAATCAAGTATTTGTGAGTTACAGTGAAAATTAGATATAACTGGAAAGCTGTTAACGCCGCTTATTATTTTATTCGCATTAGCTTATTCATAGTTGTAGAATTTTTACTAATTCTCTCAGCTAGTTGAATCCAGAAGAAGAACATCGACGAAAAAGTTAAGTACGAAAAAAAACAGCTCAGTTGCGCACTTTTTGTGAAAATTGCTTCATGTCTGACAATATAAATCTTTCACCTGCCACAAAAAAGAGAAAATTAGAGAGCGATATTGACGATAATTCAGTTGCTAACAACCTTAGTAATAAACAGCACTCCAAGAAATCGTCGTCGGCGGGTGAATTAGAAAAAAGTAAAAATCATACAAATAATCAGCAACAACAACAACAAAAATCTTCAAATAAAACAATGGCGAATGGAAATAATGATGAAAAAGGCCACAAAGAAATCGATGAGGGACTCTACAGTCGTCAACTTTATGTGCTTGGACATGAAGCGATGAGACGAATGGCAATTTCTGATGTCTTGATATCAGGCATCGATGGATTAGGCGTTGAAATTGCTAAAAATGTCATTTTAGCTGGTGTCAAAAGTGTCACTTTGCATGACGAACAAAATTGTACATTGTCAGATCTCTCGTCGCAATTCTACTTAAGTGAGTCATCGATCGGACAGAATCGTGCTGAGGCAAGCTGTAATCATCTGTCGGAACTCAATCAATATGTTCCAACGACTGCATATACTGGAAAATTGACAGAAGAAGTTTTGCAAAAGTTTAGCGTAGTCGTTCTGACCGAAAATGATGAAATTGAACAAAAGCGAATTGCTAAAATCACCCGTAAACATAATATTGCTCTTATCGTAGCTGTTACACGTGGACTTTTTGGACAAATCTTCTGTGATTTTGGTCCAGAATTTGTTGTTAATGATGTAAATGGAGCCAGTCCTCTCTCAGCAATGATTGCTGGCATTTCTAAGGATAAAGAAGGTGTAGTAACATGCTTGGATGAAGCTCGACATGGATTTGAGGATGGCGATTGTGTGACGTTTACTGAGGTGAGTAATCTCTCAATGACCTTGGCGAAACTTCTTTTTATGACTTACTCACGTCTCTATATCTTTTTATTATTATTTTCCTACTTTACTGCACTGTCGTCATCATTATAATTAATAATTTATTTTTGGATTCCTTTCTGTTTTTCATTACACACGAGAAAGTAAATTTAATCATGCCTTAAAATTTACATACTCACGATGTGATACAAATTAATATAGATAAATCTATTTAATCAATATATTAATATTTACTTTGTTACTATTTTCATTACAGGTTCAAGGTATGGAAGAATTGAACGGATGTGAGCCGATGAAAATCAAAGTCCTTGGTCCTTATACTTTCTCAATTGGCGATACAACAAATTTGTCGGATTATGTTCGCGGTGGCATTGTAATACAAGTAAAAATGCCAAAAACAGTCGTCTTTAAGACCTTAGAGGAAGCTGAAAAGAATCCAGAATTTGTTCTTTCTGATTACTCAAAGTTTGATCATCCACAAAATATTAATATTGCCTTTACTGCTTTATCACGTTATTTCGCTAAAAATGGACGAAATCCAAGACCTTGGCACAATGATGACTATCCTGAATTCCTTGAACTGTGTAAGGAACGTGCAAAGGAATTAAATGTCGAGGAGCTTAAAGAAGAACTTCTTGAAATTTTCGGAAAGACATCGAGTGGTGATTTATGTCCAATTAATGCTGTTATTGGTGGTATGAGTGCACAGGAAGTGATGAAAGCATGTAGTGGAAAATTCATGCCAATTATGCAGTTCTTTAGTTTCGATGCAATCGAATGTTTGCCTGAAGATATTAGCGGATTAACGGACACTGAATGTCAACCAATCGGATCTCGTTATGATTCACAAATTGCTATTTTTGGAAAGAAATTCCAAGACAAGTTGGGATCATTAAAGTACTTTATTGTTGGCGCCGGAGCAATTGGTTGTGAATTATTAAAGAATTTCGGAATGATGGGAATTGGTGCTGGAAAAGATGGTGAATTAATCATTACTGATATGGATCTTATTGAGAAATCAAACTTGAATCGTCAATTCTTGTTCCGACCAAAAGACGTTCAATCACCAAAATCACGCGTTGCTGCTGCTGCTGTCAAACAAATGAATCCAGAACTTAATGTTACTTATCATGAAAATCGTGTCGGTGCAGCTACTGAGAATATTTATGATGATGACTTCTTTGAACGATTGGATGGCGTTGCTAATGCTTTGGATAATATTGAAGCACGTAACTATATGGATCGTCGTTGTGTCTATTATCGTTTGCCCTTGCTTGAATCTGGCACTTTGGGAACAATGGGTAACATTCAAGTCGTTGTACCCTTCCTAACTGAATCGTATAGCTCAAGCCAAGATCCACCAGAAAAGAGTATTCCAATTTGTACTCTCAAAAACTTCCCAAATGCTATCGAACATACATTACAATGGGCACGCGACATGTTTGAAGGAATTTTCACTCAATCCCCACACAATGCATCTGAATATATCCGTGATATTGGATTTATTGAACGTACACTTAAATTGCCAGGCGTTCAGCCATTAGAAACAATGGAATCTGTAAAAGTAATGTCATTAAATTGTTTTCCTATCCAATAATTGAATTAAATATTGATTCATAACTCTTTTTTTAGCGTGCATTGATCGACGATCGTCCATTGAGCTTTGCTGACTGCGTTAAATGGGCTCGTTTCCATTTTGAGGAGAACTTTACGAATCAAATTAAGCAATTATTGTTTAATTTCCCACCTGATCAACAGACATCAACTGGTCAGCCATTCTGGTCTGGTCCAAAACGTTGTCCAGTTCCAATGGTTTTCGATAAAGACGAGCCACTTCATCTTGATTACGTCTTTGCTGGAGCTAACTTAAAAGCTGAAATTTATGGCTTACCACAAGTTCGTGATCGCAATAAGGTCTACGAGCTGGTTTCTCAAGTTCATGTAAGTTGTATATCTATAGATTTAACTTAAATCCCAAGATTAAATTTAAACATATCATGTTCAAATCTCAAAATTCCGTTAAACTTTTGTGTAGGTTCCAATTTTCACTCCGAGATCAGGCATCAAGATTGCTGAAAATGATGCAGCGCTAGCTCAACAAGACAACAGTTCGTACGATAGCGATCGAGTAGAAAATATTAAAAGCGAATTGCTGAAATTGGGAAAGCCATCATTTAATATAACTCCACTTGATTTCGAGAAAGATGATGATGCCAATTTTCATATGGATTATATTGTAGCCGCATCAAACTTGCGTGCTGCTAATTATAGTATTGCACCAGCCGATAAGCATAAGGTATGTTTAAACTAAAAATCAATACATTTCCATGAATAATAATCGCATGTCTCTTTTTCTGCACAATTATTTTAGTCCAAATTGATCGCCGGAAAAATTATTCCTGCAATAGCTACTACAACATCATTAGTTTCAGGATGTGTTGCCTTAGAATTGATAAAATTAGCTCAAGGGTATGTGTCAATTCCAACGGTTTTTGAAAATTTAAATATTGTAACATGAAACATAATTTTTTGAATCTCCTAAAGCCATTAAAATTTGAATATTTTAAACACGCTAATATTTTAAAATATCTTTGCAGCTTCAAGACACTCGACCGCTACAAGAATGGGTTCGTTAACATCGCATTGCCGTTAGTCGCATTTACTGAGCCAATTCAAGCAAAGGAACTAGAATATAATGGCAATAAGTGGACATTATGGGATCGATTTGAAGTTGAAGGCGAAATGACATTAGCAGAATTTATCAATCACTTTAAGAACGATCATAAGCTTGAAATCACAATGCTGTCTCAAGGAGTTGGAATGCTTTATTCATTTTTTCAGCCTAAAGCTAAACGTGACGAACGTATGGTATTGCCAATGACTGAAATTGTACGGAAAGTAACAAAACGTGAGATTGCACCTTATGAGCATGCACTTGTATTCGAAATTTGCTGTAATGATGCAAATGATGAGGACTGTGAGGTTCCATACGTTCGTTATACTTTACCACGCTAAAGAAACAAACATTTGATGATGATGATGATGATGATAATAATGATAGTAAATAATTGCATTCGCATTTATAAGAAGAGATGAAATATTTCTTTTTTAGCGCATTTTTGAAACTTGTTTCAAAAAGGTAGCTTAATAACGCACTTTGGTCGGCTGGTCGGCTGGTCGGCTGGCTGGTCGGCCGCTAAGAAAAACTTTTAATCTAGACATCGTAGAGAGTTCTAGTTTTTTGCATTAGTTCCGTTATATCGAGTTATTGGCCCGCCGGACATTTAAAAATCTTAAAACAGTGTATTTATGCTATAATTAATGAATTTTTGTTTTGTTTTCAGTGTAACCTGCTCAAATTTTATTTTACCTCTATAATTTCAATATTACCTCTATAATTTCAAAAAATTTCTAGCCGTTGTAAAATTTGAATTTCAAAAAACCGTTAAATGATAAACTTTTTTTGTATGGAAATTCATTGGAACAAATTATTTAATTATACTATAATTAATTTTTTCGTAGTGCAACTTATAGCGGGAAAATTTCAAACTATTTATTGACCGTTAGAAAATTTGAATTACAAAAAAATGTTAAATGATAAACCCTTTCTGTATGAAAATTCATTGCAACAAATTATTTAATTATACTATAATTAATTTTTTCGTAGTGCAACTTATAGCGGGAAAATTTCAAATTATTATTATATTGACCGTTAGAAAATTTGAATTACAAGAAACCGTTAAATGATAAACTCTTTCTGTATGGAAATTCATTGCAACAAATTGTTTAATTATACTATAATTAATTTTTTCGTAGTGCAACTTTTAACGGCAAAATTTCAAATTATTTACTGACCGTTAGAAAATTTGAATTACAAAAAATCGTTAAATGATAAATCCTTTCTGTATGGAAATTCATTGCAACAAATTATTTAATTACACTATAATTAATTTTTTCGTAGTGCAACTTATAGCGGGAAAATTTCAAATTATTATTATATTGACCGTTAGAAAATTTGAATTACAAAAAACCGTTAAATGATAAACCCTTTCTGTATGGAAATTCATTGCAACAAATTGTTTAATTATACTATAATTAATTTTTTCGTAGTGCAACTTTTAACGGCAAAATTTCAAATTATTTACTGACCGTTAGAAAATTTGAATTACAAAAAATCGTTAAATGATAAATCCTTTCTGTATGGAAATTCATTGCAACAAATTATTTAATTACACTATAATTAATTTTTTCGTAGTGCAACTTATAGCGGGAAAATTTCAAATTATTATTATATTGACCGTTAGAAAATTTGAATTACAAAAAACCGTTAAATGATAAACCCTTTCTGTATGGAAATTCATTGCAACAAATTGTTTAATTATACTATAATTAATTTTTTCGTAGTGCAACTTTTAACGGCAAAATTTCAAATTATTTACTGACCGTTAGAAAATTTGAATTACAAAAAATCGTTAAATGATAAATCCTTTCTGTATGGAAATTCATTGCAACAAATTATTTAATTATACTATAATTAATTTTTTCGTAGTGCAACTTATAGCGGGAAAATTTCAAATTATTTACTGACCGTTAGAAAATTTGAATTACAAAAAATCGTTAAATGATAAATCCTTTCTGTATGGAAATTCATTGCAACAAATTATTTAATTATACTATAATTAATTTTTTCGTAGTGCAACTTATAGCGGGAAAATTTCAAATTATTTACTGACCGTTAGAAAATTTGAATTAAAAAAAACCGTTAAATGATAAATCCTTTCTGTATGGAAATTCATTGCAACAAATTATTTAATTATACTATAATTAATTTTTTCGTAGTGCAACTTATAGCGGGAAAATTTCAAATTATTTATTGACCTTTAGAAAATTTGAATTACAAAAAAACCGTTAAATGATAAACCCTTTCTGTATGGAAATTTATTGCAACAAATTGTTTAATTATACTATAATTAATATTTTCGTAGTGCAACTTTTAACGGCAAAATTTCAAATTATTTATTGACCGTTAAATAATAATCCTTTCTATATAAGCATTCATTGTAACTTTTTGTTAATTACACTAAAATTAATGATCTTCTAATCTTCTCATGATCTGTAAATGAACGCAAAATAATTACATAATCAAATACTGATCGCTAACACAAAAATGCGCTTAAGTCCCTCGATCAATAACACGAGGACTTCTGTAATTTTTTATTAAATTAATTAAATCATCCCACTATTTTCCAAAATTAGTGCATTGTTTGTGCGAATGATTCTATTCTGACATTGATAATTAATATATTTGATACAAACTTATAGTTCTGCTTATCGGTGGTTCGTTTAATTCATAAGAAAAAAAAATCCAGGAGAAATAATATTTTCACAACTTTTCTTTTTTAATCTTCAATGAGTATTTTTTGATTATTCTACTCCCGAACTAAGTTATCATCCTTTCCAGCGATTTTATGAGTGCGTAACCTCCTTTTGTGTCTTACATCCTTTAGTGTTATTCACTGCTGTGCTTTTGGATATTGTATTCCAAATTGTTTTCTTTTTTTTTCTTGTGTATTAAAAAAGCTTTTCTGTTTAGTTTTATTTCCCGATAAAGCATTCACAATAATGATTATTAACATAATAATAATTTTTTTAGTTGAGAAGAAAAACAATTAAGCTATAAAAAAAATGAAAAACAAAATTCAATAATAGACCCAGAAATAAAGGAAAAATCTGCAAAACTTTTTCAATCAACTTGAAAATGTTCTTGACTTTTGGCGTTTTTACTCCCAGGAACAAGACTACATCAACTCTTTTTGATAACTATAAAGGTGCTGTTTTGATACATAAACAACTTTTTAAAATGTAAGGATTAATAGCGAGTTTCTTCTTAAAAGAACTATCTACAAATCAGTGGAAAGTCATCAACAATGTTAGTTTAAAATGAAAGGATTGTGCTTAAATATCGTGATAACATTTAAGACGATATGAAGGGTTGATTAAATGCAATACGCCAAATTAATCAATATAATCTTGACAAATCTAGATTACGAACAAAGATATGAAAAATCATTGTGTCAACATCCTTTATGTCATCAGAACATTAGAAAAAAAATCTTAAAACAAATATTTGCAATCAACGCTAATTCCTGATTGAAGTCAATTTTAATTGCGCGGGAAATTTTTCTTTATGGCTGTTCTACAGATCATTAGTTGCATCAGGCATTTAAATCTCTCCGAGATTCTCTCTTCACGTTTCTTCTTATCAATTTTTCGTGTCTCTTTTGTTTTACATGTTTTATTTTAATAAACATAAAGTCGAGCAGTAGGAAAGAAGTCAGTCAGTTTGTGATTGAGAAGAAGCCTTATAGCAACGGATACCTGTAAACGAAAAATTAGTTTTATTTTGGTTTTAAACAAAAATTTATAGTGACAATTTAATTATTCACTCTGTGCTTCACTATTAACTTACAAAATGATCTACAACTACTCTGAAAATGAGAAAAGAGTAAGTGAAATCAAGAAGAACTTCGGTGACCCAGACATGATAGCTCATTTGTGTAATTTTAGCTAATTTACTATGAACATGATGCCGACGAGATTCCAGGTGAAATCATTAATGAATTTAGAGACAAAGATGTTACACAGATCGACTTTTCATCTAACTTACTAGCGTCAATTGATTGTAAGTAGATTAATTTCTCGATCAACTGAATCTTAACGTGTATTAAGTGATAAGGAAACTTTAAAACGAGTAAAAATATCAGTGAGAGTTTTTAATTTAATGAATTTCTTTTCAATGGAACTCTTAAAAATGCATAATAAATTTCTCTCAAGCAAGAGATTTAAAGACAAGGGTCACTAAAATGTGATGTCTAAAAATGTTGATTTTTTTGAACCCCCAAAAATTAAATCTCTGGATTTTACTAATTGTAGCTTTAATTTCAGTCATCTCGCATTTTTCTGACTTGAACGAAATAATTTTGGACAATAATTTCCTTTCTGACGAGACAATGTTTCCAAACAAAGTTTTCTATAAAATACAGCTGCTGTCACTGAATAATAATAAGGTAAAGTTCTATCATTTTAACTTTCTGCTTGCTGATTAAAGTTTTAATTAAATCTCTAGTTTGAGGATCTGGATAAACTCGTTTATAATATTTGTTACTCATTTCCCAACTTACGGTAAGTTCTGTCGTCATTAAATTCATCAATTCAGAATATTTATTAATCAACGGCTTAAACTATTTTAAAATGTTTGAAAACCCTACAAATTCTAAAGCTAAAACCATTCAAATTATAGATTTTAAACTCAAAACCGTTCAATTGTTCTTCTTCTTCTTCTTAATTATCTTTATTAAGGTCCTTTTCAGAGGTCGAAGTTGGTGAAGTGAAGTCGTTTCACTTCACTTCACTTCACTAAAATTTCAATCGGTTTCAAGTCAGCTCGAGTGAACTCATTTTTTTCGTGTTCACTCGAGTCGACTTTTAACCGAGTTGATTTTTTCATGTTCACTTTAGTCGACTTTTAACCGAGTTGATATTTTCGTGTTCACTTTAGTCGACTTGAAACCGACTTGAGTTCAATAAGGAAAAAAAATGTAATATACCAAACTGATTTCTGCTAGTACTTGTGAAGTATATGTGATTACATACAAAATTGCAGAATTTGTCCTTTTTTACTTTTCATAACCATATAGCAAACTAAACGTATTAATTTAAAATATTTTTCAAACTTCCAGTTTATTATAATTCAAGTTTTAAATTTTTTTCATTATTTATGTTTGTACCTTAAAGAAATTTAACTCTATAATTAAAAAAGAAGTGTTATATTTAATGGTGAAATTAAAAACAAGTGAGAAGAAAAATAGAATTTACGATTCATTCAGTGCACTTATCAATATATCAATGTTGTCAAACAAATAAATATGAGATTAAAATATATTCACCAAATTTGGAAATATGGTGTGAATTAAAATAATTTCATTCATAATTGTAGCAGTTCGTAATAAATTATTTTCAAATCAGAAAAATAATCTACAGTGCAAAACATTTATAAAATATATGAAATCTAAAAAATATTTTAAATTAATTCGTTTAGTTTGCTATATGGTTATGAAAAGTAAAAAAGGACAAATTCTGCAATTTTGTATGTAATCACATATACTTCACAAGCACTAGCAGAAATCAGTTTGGTATATTACATTTTTTTTCCTTAGTGAACTCAAGTCGGTTTCAAGTCGACTAAAGTGAACACGAAAAAATCAACTCGGTTAAAAGTTGACTCGAGTGAACACGAAAAAATCAAGTCGGTTTCAAGTCGACTAAAGTGAACACGAAAATATCAACTCGGTTAAAAGTCGACTAAAGTGAACATGAAAAAATCAACTCGGTTAAAAGTCGACTCGAGTGAACACGAAAAAAATGAGTTCACTCGAGCTGACTTGAAACCGATTGAAATTTTAGTGAAGTGAAGTGAGTTTGCTTCATCGACTTCGACCTCTGGTCCTTTTTAATAAATTTTAAGACCATTTTCAATTCTAAATATGTTTTACATGTTTTTTAATTTTATAAATACGAACTGCAGTACAGGATATTATGTGTTTTGGTGTTAGATTTTGTCGTAAATATTAATTTCTTTTACAAAGTTTAAAATTTTGTCTGTTTCATCTTTTTCGTCTACTTTAAGTGTTTTGTAACTGATATTAAATTTTGAAATAGCTGTTTACCGTTCAATTGTCAACTTAAGACTATACAAATTAAGTTTGATGTTTAATTAAATTAGTAATAATTTTTCTTAACAGACACTTAAGCCTCCTTGGCAACCCTCTCTGTCCCGCACTCAATGAAAACTACAATGAAGATGATTATGAAAATTATAGGTGAGTGTCACGTTTACAAAATAACTGAAAAGTATCAAAAATTACCACATTTAATACCTATGAGACACTGATGACAATTATGTGCTACAATTAATTATTTTGTATATCGATAGACTTCTCATAATCTCTCGATTGCCCAAATTAAAATTTTTGGACTCAAAAATGATAACAAGGCACGAATGGTCAATAATTCACGCAAATACTTCAAAAGTTGACGAAGTAGTGAGTCGTGTTCAAAAGAGCAACAGCATGGACAGGATAAGTTTGTGGAAGAGAATTTTTAAGACTCAATCAGCAAAAGAAATTGAGTCTGTGGATGAAGTGGATCATAACATCTACAAACCTTTACCAACCGACGGTAATGCTGGATTTCAGGAACCTCGTAGCTCTTACAGCAAGTGTAAGCATTTCTATCAAGGAACTGAATCACAAGGAAATCGATTTATAGGAAATAAGATGCTGTGAAGCTCACAATTAAAGGAATTATAAAAAAACTCAAAGGCTACAATTATTAAGCTCATTTAATGATTTTATAAAGAAAATATATTTCAATTTTAAAACGACTTTTGAATTCAAATAGAAATACACGCAATTTACAAAATATTTCAATGTCACGTTTTAATGTGTGCTGTAAACACATTTTCAGTAGCATGTATGCTTTAAAAGAAAGCAGTTTTGCCTTGTCATATTGTCTGGCTGTTATACAGCTTTAAAATTATAGTTTTGGAATTGAATGGTTCTTAAGCATGCTGTTGTAAGGTTTTAAAAAAATTTAATTATAAATTGATATAAAAACAGACCTTAGATATCTCAATCTTTACAATGCTTCTCCTCCCTTCTCAATTTTCACCCTATAATCATTTTTACTAGCGTCAAAAGAGCGTAAGTTCTGTTTACATTTTCTTCTCTCAAATTTCATTCGTTTTCGAACATTTGCCGATTGAAGTTCATCAGTGTGTGACTGACTGCATTATCATCAATATTAACAAGTGGTTCCTCACTTTATAATCAAGCCGGTAAATTATCAAAAGTTCTATAAATAGATTGAGATACAACGAAATGGCAAATCCAGCTCAAGAAATAAAGTTTACGAAGGTCTGTTATTTATCCATAAGTCTTAGCTACTTGCTATAGTATTTTTAAACCTTCCAGCTATTCATTAATAATGAATTTGTGGATTCTCAAAGTGGAAAGACATTTCCAACAATAAATCCAGCGAATGGCAAGAAAATAGCTGATGTTTCTGAAGGAAGCAAGGAAGATGTTGATATTGCTGTAAAAGCAGCCCAAAAAGCTTTTGAGTTAAGCTCAGAATGGAGATCTTTAGATGGATCTGCAAGAGGCAAGCTGATGAATCGGTAAACTTTGAGTTGTCTGTTAATTATCCGAGTGGACAAAGAACTAGTTAAAAGCTTGCGATTGACTTGCTTTGTCCATCGGATTAAGGTTCAATTTAAAATAATTTTTAATCTACAGCTTTGCAGACCTGATTGAACGTGATGCGAATATCTTAGCTAATATAGAAACACTCGATAATGGCAAATCATTTGATGACTCGCTGTTTGATATCCAAATGTCATGTGATACTTTACGGTATGTGCTTTAAGATCTAACTTACCAGATGATTTGTTCAATTTTTGTAATCAGATATTATGCTGGATTTTGCGATAAGATTCACGGAAATTCGATTCCGAGCGATGGGAACATGTTCAGCTATACAAGAAAGGAACCGATTGGTGTTGTAGGTCAGATTATACCGTGGAATTACAGTATTTTGATGATTTCATGGAAATTTGGTCCTGCTTTGGCTGCTGGATGTGTAATAATTCTCAAGCCTGCACAACAAACGCCTTTAAGTGCTCTTTATATTGCTGCCTTATCAAAAGAAGCTGGATTTCCAAATGGCGTGATTAACGTTATTAACGGATATGGAGATACAGGCTCAGCGATTGCTGCTCATCCTGATATTCAAAAAGTTGCATTTACTGGATCTATCAAAGTTGGAAAATTAGTCATGGAAACGGCAGCAAAAACTAATTTGAAGAAGGTTTCTTTAGAATTGGGAGGAAAAAGTCCTCTTGTTGTTCTTGATGATGCTAATTGTGAGTTAATGATGTTATTTTTATAATTTCTAACGGATATCAAAAATTTGAATTTGTGTTTGCAAATTTTAAGTTCATTTTTTGAATTTTTGAATACCGTTAAATTGAATTTACAGTGGATGATGCCGTTGAAGCTGCTCACAATGGAATATTCTCAAATGCAGGACAAAATTGTTGTGCTGCTAGCAAAACATATGTTCAAGAAGGCATCTATGAAAAGTTTGTTCTTAAAGCAGCGGAAATGGCACGAAACAGAAAAGTTGGAAGTGGATTTGAAAAGGATATCCAGCAAGGTCCACAAATTGATCAAGCCATGTTCGATAGAATAATGACTTTCATTGAGTATGGAAAGAGCGATGGAGCGACATTGGAAGCTGGTGGGAAGAGGTGGGGTAATGAGGGGTATTTTATAGAACCGACAGTTTTCTCAAATGTCACTGAAGACATGAAAATTGCCCAAGAAGAAATTTTTGGACCAGTTCAATCGATTTTAAAGTTCAAAACTCTCGACGAAGTTATTCAACGTGCCAATAAGAGTGATTTTGGTTTAGCAGGTGATTATGAAGATTATATTAAGGTTTGAGTACTCATATTCACACAAAATTACTTGTATCTTTATCTGTATAGCTGGAATTTTTACAAACAATATCAATGATGCAATGAAGTTCGCTCATAGTGTTCAGGCTGGCTCAGTTTGGGTAAATACTTACGATGCAGTCACTCCACAAACGCCTTTTGGAGGCTATAAACAATCAGGAATCGGTCGAGAATTAGGAATGGAAGGTCTTGAGCCATATTTGGAAGTAAAAAGTGTTTCTATTAAACTTCCAGCGAAGTACTAATGTTCAGTTTCATGGAATATTCTTGAATCTGTAGTGTTATATACTTAAAAAGTATTTTAATAAATTTGGCAACAAAACAATTTTTGTAACGGTTTTTTTGTTTTTAAAATTACAACGGGTTTCAAAAATTTGAATTCGTCAAAAATAAAATCTTTTTGAGGTTATGTTGAACGAAAAACGTACGTTTTTCAGTTTAAAGTTGCGTGCTACACAAATAAGAAGTTAATTTAATTAAATATGGTTGATATAAAGGCAATAAAAGCCCAAATACGATCTGTTCTGCTCAGTCTTGGAAAGAGTAAGTTAAACAACTTGAAAAATGATCAAAAAACATGAAAATCAGGAAATTTAATGAAATTTTAAATAATTCCATTTTCACGACATGTAGCTGCCACAGAACAGGAATTTCGGAAGGCATACTATGAAATTGAAGGAGCAAACTTTAATGAAGTACTTAGAGAACTTAAAATAAACTTTCACGACTTGTTTTTGAGAATTCCGGATGTTGGCAAGATAGTGTATGCTTATAATCAGGTCTTTATCCAAAGAGTATCAAATGAAGCAACTGCACACATGGAAAATCTTACAGTTAACAAGTATTCTAAAAACTTTCGTGGACCAAAGCTTGTAACTAAAAGTGGTGCAATAAAAGGACGACCAATGACACATTCATTAAGCATTAAAGCACCTGATTACATGCCATATCCAATGAATACAGCTCCTCCGGTTCCTTTTCGACAAAATCGATCATATGGATATGAAAAACCAGTTCAGAACAATTTCAACATGAGAGTTACAACTGGAACCAATAATTATAATCGAAATGTCCAGTGCTATTATTCCAAAACTGCAAGTTCGTCTTACAACAGGCCAGCAGTTTCATCTTCAATGGCAATGAGTTCAAATCAGTCATATAAAAAGCCAGTTTCATCTTCAATAAACTCAAATCAGGTATTTAATAGACCTGTGGCTTCATCAGGAATGTCGACGAGCTCAAATCATTCATCTAGCTTTGCAAACATTTCAAACACATCGACCAGAAAAGATTTATACGCACAAATTACAGATAAAGTCAAAAATACGCAGCAAACATCCAGCACAGCTAGCAATTCTGGAATGCTTTCAAAAACTACTAGAATGCCATCACCACCAAGTGATATAAGCAGCATATCCTCAATTGATAGCGAATCGATTGGGATTGCTGAAGATTTTAAAGACGCTAATCGTAAGTAACTGGATTAATTTGTAATTAATAATTTTATACAAGGCGTGGACACTGAGATTAATCCCAATAATCCTGAATAATCCCAGCATATTTTTGATTGTCCACGCCTTGATTTTATAACTATTCCTTATTATTTTCACAGTAAATATATCGAGTGTCAAGAGTGAATATGAAGATGCATTAGAAGAGACATTAACGACATCTCCAAAGGCTCCCGCAGAACCGCTAAGAATTGCACCGATGGCTTCAACAACAAAATTTACTCCAAAACCTTCAGTCACGAGCTTATTGAGATCCAGTAAACAGGAAGAAGTCGCAGATTTGACGAAATTGCAAGAATTAGCTGATCAAGTTGGAACGCTTAAATTAAATGATACAAACATCAGGTCGAGTCCTTTAATGGCTAGGCAACGCTTAAGGTCAATGAGAATTTTCAGAGAAGCTTTAAATGATCTTAATATTCAAACTAATCAAGACAAAACATCACAAGGCACAGCATCAGTATTTGACATAAAAGATATTATTACACTACCAGATCCAATTCAAAATGAAGAGGAACTGTTCTTCTTCATAAAAGTCACTGATGTTGCATCGCCTGGAAAATTTGTCTTTCAATTTTCATTTGAAAAGCTTAAACAGCTCAGCAGCAGCATGAATAAATTCTATAACAATTTACATGACCTTAAAACGTATCAAGTTAAGGATTTTGTTAATGACAATATTGTCGCTATTCGTAAAAATGATTTGTGGTATCGTGGACAAATTATATCATTTAATGAGACTGAAGCTAACATCCAGTTAGTTGATTCGATGAAAATTAAGCCGCACAAAGTTTTATGCAAAAATATTTTCCATCTTCATCAAAAATTCACAACAGAATCACCAAAATCAGCATTCGGAAAGCTTCATGGATTGAAGGCAATTGATGGAGAATGGAATATGCTTAGTACAGCAAAATTGGACTCAATTCATGACCAATTATTATTGGCTACAGTCAAAAACATTGATGATGGAGTTTTTTCTCTGTCTATCATAGCTGAAACAAGGAATTTTATACGGTTAAGTGACATGATTATTGAGAATAATCTTGCTGGTATAGAACTTGAAGATTTGGCAACTGAAGCTGTTTTTCGATCTTTAGTATAATGGAAGTTTTATACGACTTTTATTTTTCGTTAAATTTAATATTTTTTTACCTTAATCTACAGAAGTAATGAAAAGACTTATGAAAATTAATAATCTTAGAAGAATTGGAAGGATTTATAATAAATAGAGGATTTGAAAACCGTTTTCAAAAGAAACTGTCAACAATTATTTGACATTTATTGGTAAGACTGTACGAGATGGGGCACCCTTTATTTTTCAATGTTTAAAGTGTTTTCTTATTGCTTTTAATGTGTACATTTATAAAAACAAAAGTTTTTGTGGCGGAAATGCATTTGGAACAAAAAAAAATTTTTGCAGTTAATTTGCAGGAGGTTTGCAGTTGATCAAAAATTTTATTTTTGCAGGTGATTTGCAGGAGGTTTGCAGTTGATCAAAAAATTTTATTTTTGCAGTTAATTTGCAGGAGGTTTGCAGTTGATCAAAAAATTTATTTTTGCAGGTGGTTTGCAGGACGTTTGCAGTTGATCAAAAATTTTATTTTTGCAGGTGATTTGCAGGAGGTTTGCAGTTGATCAAAAAATTTTATTTTTGCAGTTAATTTGCAGGAGGTTTGCAGTTGATCAAAAAATTTATTTTTGCAGGTGGTTTGCAGTTGATCAAATATTTTATTTTTGCAGGTGGTTTGCAGGAGGTTTACAGTTGATCAAAAAAATTTCTTTTTGCAGTTGATTTGCAGTTGAGAAGTTTAATTCAATTAATGTTAAGAAAAGATGAAACTAAAAAGCCGTTTTATATTTTGTAAAAGGAATAATATTACAAATTAGAATTGAATTCAATCGAATAAAATAACAATTAAATAAAATCAAAGATCATCAAATAATTTTCAGAAATTTAAAAGAATAAATAAAAATTTGCAGTTGATTTGCAGATCATCAAAAACAATTTTGAAAATTTAAAATATATTCAAACGGTCGAAATCATTAAAGCACTGTTTTTACATCACAGGCTAATGAATTACTGCGAGAAATGTTTGAAGTTGCTTTAAAAGCAGATATGATATGATTTTTGTAAAATGTATTTTTTTTTTAAAAAAAACTTCGATTTAGAAAAGAAAACCTCAACTGCAAACCTCCTGCAAACCACCTGCAAAAATAAAATATTTGATCATCTGCAAACCACCTGCAAAAATAAATTTTTTGATCAACTGCAAACCACCTGCAAAAATAAAATTTTTTGATCAACTGCAAACCTCCTGCAAATTAACTGCAAAAAAAATTTTATTGTTCCAAATGCGTTCCCGCCAGAAAAACTTTTGTTTTTATAAATGTACACATTAAAAGCAATAAGAAAACACTTTTAAAATCAAAAATAAAAGGGTGCCCCATCTCGTACAGTTTAGCCCATTTATTTTCTTCATTCAAATTTAAAAAATACGTTAAATTATTATTTGATTTTTTGTTCTGAATATCAATTTTGTTTCATTTAATCGACTTTTTCCTGCAAAAAAGGACATACACATTTAAAATTTGAACAATAACAGCAGTTGTCATTTTTTATCCAGACGCAAACTCGCGAATTTTTTATTAAAGACATCTTATCAGGCACTTTATCTTCATACAAATCGACGAAATACATTCTTTGGTTATATTAAACATGCATTCATATCCATTAGTGATATAAAAGAAATAAAAATTATAAAATTGAAATCGACGTTAACAGCCAAAAGGAAACAACAAAAGAATTCTAAATTAAATCTACTTGAAACTTCGAAATTACATAAATCGTGTATTCTTCTATTAAGCATGAATTATCCTGAATTAAAAAAAGAGCAATACTAAAATATTGATTATCAGTTCCTTAAAAAATAATATATTTTTTTTTTGTTAAAAGTCTTTCATTTACGACATCTGTACCATTCCAGAAGTCTCACTTTGAGAACATAAGTTAAGTTTGAAGCATATTTGATCCGATTCTGTAATGTTCTTTAAGAGGTTGATTATGGCTACGCCATAAGTACTGGCCAGGTTGTGGCACTGAAAATAGAAAAAACAGATGAAATATTTTGACCGTTTTTTTTTTGTAAAATCCTGCGATTCTCACCTTATCCTTGAATTTTCCAGCAAATTTCTGACAAACTTTTTCCTCTAAATTCTCAAGATTTGTGTCGATATTTGGATCTTCGATGATTGTGTCTAAAGCATCAACAACGCCCTTGCAGAGAGCACAAGTGTAGATATCATTCTTAATTTCAAGAAGATTGGCTTCTAGAAGAGGATTGTATTTTGGACAAAGCTTTAAAGCAGCACACATCTTGTCAGGCTTTGTAGTCTCAATAAGTACAATAATCATATCGAAATAGTAATCGATGAATTGATTGCATTCCTTTGAAACAGTTTGTGGCATTTTTGAACAAATATTCTTGATTGTTCTCTTTATTTCCTCGTCTGTTGTCTTGTCATTCAATTCCTCTTCCATCTTGGTCATAATGAATTCACAGATAATACATCCAGTTGATCCGATATCCTCGTGATCTTCATTTTCATTTTTTGCTGGAATCTGGAAACTTCTAACCAAGATATCTAATCCAAAATCATAATCTTGCATATCTTGTTCGTTGTCCATTACACAGTACAATAATTCACGACAGACATTTTCTGGTGTTAATTCTTGACTTACTAATTCAACAATTTTATCAGAATATTTATCAACAAATTCCTTGCATTCCTTTTGGAACTTTCTCAGACGTGCACACGAGTTTTCCAGTTCGCGACGAATTTCGTCCTGAATGAGATAAATTTTAGTTTTATGAGCGTTTTTTGAAAATTCAAATATTTAACGTATTTTAAAATTTTGAATTTTTGAACTTTCCTGAAGTTCAAATTTTTTGAATTTGCTTAGCTACTGATTTTTGAATTTTTTATGTTCGTTATTTGAATATATTACCTTCGATTTATGATTAATTATTCTCTGTTCAAGTAGCCCAATAACTGTCTTGCAGAGTTGACATTGTGGATTATTAACAATTTTTGGGCTTTTTACTTCTGTGCTGTCGTCTTCAAAGTCTTTATATAAAGCAAGAAAATTGATTAAAAATATTATAAAACTTTTAAAAGGTCTACAAACCTGTAATATCTTCGCTTGACTCCGATGATGATTTTGCGAGACTTCCTGGCAACCTTATTCTATTAAGTTTAGGTTCCGACGAAGTGCATAATCTAATGAATACGCAAGCTTCTTGTGGCGTAAAATCAGCAAGAATCATGTCTACAACTTCTGCTGAATAAGTTTCTACGAAAACCTTGCATGGTCCTTGAAGTTTAACAGATAAATGTGTACATAGACCGTCCAAAACGCTCAAAATGCTGTCTTTTGTTGAATTCTTATTAACGACTGACTTAATCTCCTGCATGGCAAACAGACAGAATGCACAAGTTGGCTTCTCGCTGACATTGTTTTCTTCAAAATGATGAAAATCGTAGCTTGGTGGACACATTTTAATTATTGGACATACTAATCGTGGATTAGTTCCAGCCTCAACTGCTTCCATAATTTGATCACCAAACATATCAACGATCTGTTCACATTCAGCGACGTAAAGTGGCAATCTCTTGCATTCATTTCTAACAGTTTGAAGGATCTTATCATGAATTGTATTCTTAGTCACTTCTATGTGGACTAATTGCATGGTATATTCACAGGCTGTGCATAATGCGCCATTTTTGACTAACTTAAATGAGTCTTTGGTAACGATATGAACTTCAACTGAGTCAACACTTATTTGTTTAGGCTGTGGAAATAAGTCACTGGAGATAAGAGGCATTTTAGGAGCTTGAATAATTCGTTCGTCACTTTTTGGTTTGCAAATCTTTATCATCGTGCATGTTTTATCAGCATCTAATTTACTGACTAAGAATTCATAGATTGTGTCAGCATATTGGTCAACAATATTAATGCATTCATTCTTAACTGACGGCATCTGTCCACAAAAACCTTCCAACATGTTTCTGAACTCAATTTCACTCGTATTGGATATTAATAGCTCACGTAAATGTATCATAAGTTGTTCACACAATTGACATGGAATATCTGGATCATCAAAAGCTGGCTGAATGTCAATAATGCCTTCATTGTATTTGTGATGCTGTGTGCATGTCGAGTGACAGATTTTTCCTTTGTTGACGATGTTTGGTAATTGTTTTTGGATGTCATTGAAATGAGTGAGAATCAAGCTTGAACAGGAATCAGAGAATGATGACATTTGTCCACAAACAGCGAGTAATCCTTCCAATAAATCATCACCATTAGTTGTGTCCAATTTCTTTTCAATTAAGTCAGCAATATGATTGCATTGCCCGCATGTAAATGGCATCAACTCGACCTTCTTCTTCGGTGGTTCTGGATTCTTAAAAATTTTAGTAAACTCCTTGTTATTGCAAAGATGAATTGCAGAACAGACAGCATCAGGATCCATGTGTGAAACAAGAATCTTCTGAATCTCATTGATATTATTTTCAATAAGTTCCTTGCATTTATCTCTTCCATTCTCATTTGGACATAAAGAACACGACCATTCCAAGGTTTTGATAAGTGAATCAAAGGTTTGATTATTAGCAATTAAGTCTCTTGCTTGTACCACCCATTCCTTACAGTCGTCACACAGTGGATTTGAGTCAACTTGAACGATGTGATTCTCCCAAACTGTTTGAATACAAAAATCTACTGCGTTGCACTTCTTTGCGTTACTGTAAACGAAAATAATATTGAATTGTCATACTTTTTGTGTATTAGATTTATTTTGGGGCTCATTGAATCGAGTAAATCTTAATGACCCCTATTTTTGAGATTATTCCTAGACCGAAAATGCGGGGAGTGGACATTTAAAGAGTCATATTCTAGATGACAAATTTTTTCTGATTGTGCTGCTCGAAAACATTAGCTAGTCATGGGTAAGATAAGGAAATCTAGTGTTACTCATAAACAACTTTTAAATGCTTTAGACGACACATATACATCAATTTAATACGGTTTAAAACACGAAGACCTTGAAATGGACTCTATAAATTTCCAGCTATTCCTTGATCTTTAGTATTGGATTACTGAAGTACAACAATAAGCCCAGACCACTGAATTTATTTAAATTGGTCATGCATTTTTGAATGCAAACGTTTTTTATTAATTACGCCATCAAATCAATAGTCATCAATTTTATTATGCTTAATATATCCACAATAATTATATATATGGACATTTAAAGCCCTTTGTTGTTAATTTGTCATCATTTTGCCAGTGTTTGTATGACAGTTTACAATATCGTGATAAATGCTGATAATTCAATACATTCATACATGTCTAAATAAGAGACATATGAATCATGTACGAAGGAATCGATACTTTGTTTGTGTCAAGAACAAAAATTATTTGATATCTGATGAACTCTTATCAACATAATCAAATTTAATTAATAGAACTCCAAACAAAGGCAGATAAGAGACAGAGAAAATTTTCTTTTTGGGAACTAAGACAATACAATGACAAGCGAATGATGTAGAAATGATGATAATGTATTAATTTTAAGAATAAAGTCGGAAAAACGCAATTAATTGAATTAGCGACTTACATTACATGTTCACACCAATATTCTATTCCTTTTGAGCAGTCTTCATGTCTAATTAATGATGATTTTGCCGACGACACATATATTATCACTGGACGTTAATTAAATTAAATTGAAATTAATTTTAAGATAAACAAATTTTTAAAGTCAATTTTTTGCTTACCACAGAGCAGTATCGATAGATACTTCATCCTTTTCGGTTAGTTTGCACAATAAATACTTAAAATTAAATGATGTGCACTCTTTATAATGGCTCTTAATCGAATAAAAACTTTAATATTATTAAAGAACTCGTCTTTGTTATTATTTTGAACGGGGAATATCACAACTTCAATTTCAGGGGGGTAATAACTGAAATTATCAAAATTTCAAATTTAAAAAGTCCGTTTCGAGAAATATCTAATTCAGAATATCAGCTTTAATTAATATCTTTTAGGTACATTTCACAAATGTCGACTTTTTAAACAGTGCTGAAGAATGCACTTCAAATTTAAGTATACATACTACAATTCAAAACTCTAAAACCACTTTTCTCTTAATATCCACTCTCAGAGCTATAATAATTATGAAGATAATTCAAATACTGGGGGTCCTCGATTTGAGTAGTTGTTTTGTTCCAAAAAATTTCTACTCAAATCGAATCTATTCAAATCGAGGCAAAGAATCAATACAAAATTACATGTTTTGTTCCAGAGTCCAAAAAATATATCAAAACAATGAAAATTTTGATCATTTTTTGCACATTTTACCTCGTTGCTTAACTTTTCCTATGTGTTTTAGATAACTTAATTTATTTCAAGGCACATTCATATTGTTTTTAAACAGAAATTCACAAAAAATATGTTTTTGAAACAAAACAAAAATATGAGAACCTTGCAAATGTTAATTCACTGAACAATTTGTAAGGTTTTTGAATTTGAACTTTTAATTTTATAGCGATTTTTTAAATTTTTACTTTAATTTTGTAACTTTAGTATTGATTTTTCTATCAATATGATAAGTTCACGCTTATTGCAGTAAAATTTATGTTTTAAAAATATTTTCTGAAATGTTTTTATCAAAAATGTTTGTTTTGTAAACAGTTCAAATCGAAGAAAACAGGAAGAAATCTACTCAAATCGAATATTTTGGTGGGTAAAAATTTTTCTGTTCAAATCGAATCTACTCAAATAGAATCTACTCAAATCGAGGACCCCCAGTATTAAGTTTGTTCCTGTATAATAATATCTTCATAGATAATAGAATTATTAAATTATTATTGTTTTATGTCGTCAATAATATTTCGTTTGTTGTTTTCTGTCTATAATAAGTGATTGTATAAGACGTTATCAAATGAGGTATCGTTGATAAGTTTCTAGCGCACATTATTGTGCAGTTTCTTGCTCAATTTCAATTTAATTCTAAATTAAAAATCCGATAAAATAATTTTTGAATTTCACGAAAATGTTGATCAATATATAAAAGTTTAAATTCCAGAAAGACGTTAAAAATCTTTTAATTAGGCACAAAACCAAATTCATAACTATGAAGTAGATTTGTTGCTTTAAATGCATTGTTCTTGACTTTAAGCTTAATATTTAAAATCAACTAGATTACAATTTGGACTTTCCATTATCACTTTCGAACTTGAGTTCAAATTCAACAGGAATTGACGCAAAAATCTTATCAACATCTTCATCCTTTATATCATGTAAGATTTTTGGGTTCCATTTAGGTTTCAAGTCCTTTTCAATGATCAATGCACGAACACCTTCTTTAAAATCTTGTGAATAATGTGTCATAATGTTGTAGGACAAAAGAGTTTCAAGTTTGAGACACTCCTTAAGTGACAACTTACTTCCCATATTCAATAATCTATGACAAATCTTCATGCTCATTGGTGACATTCTATTAAGGACTCTAATTGTCTGCATAGCCCATTCACTTCCATCCAAACCTAAATTATCATAAATTTCTTCAACAGAATCACCATCAAAGCATTTATCGATTCTCGGTAATATTTCATCTAGTTCACTGTCTGTACAAACTGGAACCGACGAATAATTAGCAATCGTTCTACCGACTTCATAGTCATCCTTACATTTAACCAATGCCTTCATAAAATCTTCCATTCTCTTGCTTTCAATGTAATGTGAAGCAAGTCCGAATTTCTTTATATCATATCCATACAATCGCGCGCCGGCTAATGCAACATAATATCCTAGATTATATTTTAATCTCGGTAAGAAGAAACTCGCACCTGCGTTTGTGAAAAATCCAATTTCTGTCTCTGGCATGGCAAACACTGTTCGTTCTGTAGCTATTCTGTATTTTGAAGTCATTGAATAGAAACATGCACCACCCATAGTAATTCCATCAAGAATTGCCGTGTAAGGCTTCTTGTACTGCGATATCAAGTCCATTGAATTTGATGAATAGAAACCCGCTTCAGAATCATTTGGATTTTTCATAAGTTCCCGTAAATCAATACCAGCACAAAATGCACGTTCGCCGGCACCTTGAATGACTACATGCTTTTTGTCAGATGTCTCTAAATCTTTCAATAGTTCATACAGTTGTCTAAAATTAATCTAATTAGCATAATTTAAAAAGTCTAAGTTAAAACTGGATTTACTTTGGCATTTCTAATGTGAATGTATTCATCTTTTCCGGACGATTAATCGTTATTATAGCTGCATTTTTAATTTCCTTCAGCTGGACGTGCTTCGATTGGAATGCATTTAAAATTCGCGAAAACATTTTCTGCGGATCAAAAAATGTTTTTAAGTAATTTGCTTTATTTTACAATTTTTAAAGGTTTCTAAAACCTAATTTGACTTTATTAGACCCTTGAAATATTAATTAAACTCACTTCAAGCTCGATTAATACTCGAAAACCTTTGAAATCTTAATAAATAAATTATTCTGCCGGTCTACTTTTCGTGTCACTACTTTCTATGCTCTAAGCTCACTCAAATTTATAAATGAACGTTACGTGCTATATAAATAGACGAAAAGACAATGGATAGTAAATGCGACATAAAAGTAATAATTTAAACGGCTCTCTAGTCTTTAAATGCAAGTTCTTTTTGGTCGTCAAGTGGTTTGAAGAACTCATTAACATATTCGTCCGTGACTTCATGCAATGCCTTAAATTCCCATTGTGGTTTGTTGTCACGATCAATTAATAATGCACGAACGCCTTCATTGAAATCTCCCTTGCCTGTAAAGTGATGAATTGCAAGTCGATATTCCATTTTTAAGCAATCGTCAAGTGACATTGATTTTCCAAGGGTCAGTTCCTTGTGGCAGACTTTAAGACTAGTCGGTGAGTTCTTATTCATTGACCTGACTATATTCATTGCCCATTCACTTCCATCTAGATTTAGATTGTCTACAATTTCCTCAACTGTATCACCGTCAAAGCACTTGTCAATTTCCTTAATTAAAGTGTCCATTTCAGTGTGTTTTGGTGGTTCCGATGAGAATTTCTTTAAAGTACGTTCAATATCGTCTGTGTTCTTAGACTTGACTAATTCATCTTCCAGTTCTGAAAGTCGCTCACTTTCAATATAATAATCAGCAAGTCCAATTTTATTCATATCATATCCTTTGATACGTGGACTAGCCAATGCAATATAATATCCAATATTTCGTGGAACTCTTGAAAGGAAGTAACTTGATCCATTGTCTGTGACATATCCAATTTTGGCTTCAGGCATCGCGAAGTCTGTCTTTTCAGTCGCAACTCGATATTTCTTGGCAGCAACAGTTAAATTTGATGCAGCACCAAAGCATACTCCATTCATGAGTGGAATAAATGGAACCTTAAAGTTATGGACTAAACGGAAGAGATTTAATGGATGTTGATAATATTCTTTTGCTTGATCAATGGAAGTAAACTGTACGAGCTCTTTAATGTCACCTCCTGATGAAAAGATCTTATCGTTGCCTTTAAATATGACGAGATTATTGCGGTTCTGAAGCTCATTGAGTAGTACGTATAGATTACTGGATGTTTGCAAAAAATGCCGGTTAAATTTCACTGGATCTTTTTCACACAAAATTAACATGTTACTTACTTGAAAGTGTCTCGATTAATAGCATTCAATGCTTTTGGCCGATAGAGTTGAAGGACTCCACAGTTGTTTCTTTCATTATGGATAAAATAAGGATCTGATTTCGAGCAAAAATTTCTTCCCAATAAAATCAACTTTTTATTCAATTTTCCTAGCGACATCGTGGCACGTTAAGTCAGACTATTAGCGAATGAGTTATTACATGTAGGTTTTGCTAAAACAAGTTACGAAAGCACTTATTAAATCCTTATTTTTCTTTTTATTTATTTTCACGAAAATGTTTTTGTTGTTATTTTCAAGTAAGAAAGTCACGTGGAAAATATTTTATGCTTTCTTTGATTAATTGAATTAAAAAGCAATCTTAGTAAAATAAACATTCTTAAATCGTACAGAATAGATCATTTGCAAATTGGATATTTAAATAAATTAAATTGTGTAATTTTTTAGAGTTTTTAATTCCAACGGCTCTGTAAAATTCGAAAGAGAGTGCCGCAAAAAAATTACAGATTGCAGAATCCGATTCAGTGATTAGTCAGAAAAAAACAAAAAAATAATCGCAAATGTTTGTTTCATATTTTTTCACAAATTTCAATGTTTTTTAATTAATTATATTCACTGGAAGTCGATAAACGTATTAAGCGGCATCAAAGCGATCGCATGTGTGTTTTAGTGTCCCAAAAAATGTGAAAAATTCGATATAAATTGAAAATTAAAAATTATTGCAAAATACATCCAGAAATAAAGGAAGAAAAAATTGTGTTAATTAAAGAAATAAGTGAATTTTGTGAAAAATAGCAGGTTCTGTGAGTGGAATAATTGCACTGGATTAAGGCAATAGGCAGCTGAAATGGATGCAAAAGGAACGGGATGTAAGTAATAACAAAAGAAAACTTATTCCTTTACTTCCAACAAAATCAAAGAGTTATGACTCATTTTTCCTCTTTTCTATATGTGTGACATTCTTTCCGAGGAATTAATTATATATTATATATCTTTACATCACCCGTGTGAATTTGGCGACAAAATCCCATTCTCAATAAGCCGATATTTTAACAATTTTCTTTCTTGTGAAGTATATAAAATCTATTCAAAAACTAGAATGTCCATAGAATTTTTATATTTGTATAGAAATAGATAATAACTTATATATGTCATTTTGCCATTGTGCATCTACTTCCATAAATTTAAAAATAGTGACAATTAAGTCTATCAAGTTCCAGAAATGCTTGCGTAATAAGTTTAATAATAACTAGACAAAAATTTATGTCATAAAATCTTATCTAAAGGTCAGATGAGTCTTGTAGGAATAATACAGTAAACTGTGCCTTTAAAGTTCTACGTAAAACTAAGAGCAATCACTTTAATTAAGATTTTACCGGTACAATTCTCATGCTTAATCCGATAACATACAAAATCGTATGAACAACAGAATAAATAAAAAGTTATTCATCAAGTTCAATAACGGTAAATGGATGGCTTGTCTGGAATATGCGGAATCTTGCTTAAAAGAAAGTCTGCAAATCAATTTTGATTAAGTTACGGTTTTTATGACTACTCTTTTTCCACTTATGTCACCCATAATGCTGATAAAAATGCTGATATCTGGAGTTATAAACAATTGATAACAGCTCGTGCTATCAACTTACCTACTCTTATCAAGATTGCTTGACATTTTTAACGTATTTAATTTATTTCAAAACATTTGAACTTCGTTTTGACTGGCTGACTAATTTTAAGTTCTAAAAGTCTGTTAAATTTTCCTCAATTTCTGAATCATTTCTGTTGAGATCTATAAAACATATCCAATAAGATTTCACCATTTTTAATGATTTACAGTGCGCTTATGTCATCCGATTTCGAATGACTCACACACTGCACATTATCAGTAAGGATTGTTAATAAAAAAAGATATATGAACTAAGTGATTTTCATTTTCTTCATCCTTTAACTGATAAAATTGGATTGAATGTAAATAATTGAGTGAAAATTACGAGTTTATTTTTCTTTCTTTATCAGCTGAGTTTATAAGTCGTGCTTTTCCTCATGAGTGTCATAAATTTTAATTGAACTTGATTAGTTTCAATTTCTCTTTTCCCTTCTCATTCTTGCAACTTACATGCTTAATATACTATGTTTTTCCATCGGCGTATGCAATATTTAAAGTTAAAGAAGAGAGCCAATATATTAAAGTAATGAAAAACTTTCAATCTTGCTTACTCTAAAGTACGTACATGTGTGTGAAAACGTTGCAATACTTGCTTGATTGGAATAGAAAACCAGTTCTTTTTTTTGCTAAATGGTAAATACGAAGAGAATAACATTCCCCTGTGCGACGTAGTATGCCTTTAAGCATTAATATTATTATCCCATTCGCATTTTCCTATCAGGAAAAGTCGGTATTGTTCGCACTTATTGCTATACACAATATTGATGCTTAATTCGCATTTGATACTTTATTTCCTTTTTAAATTCCGTGTAGAAAAAATGCGCTTAAACCTGTCACGAGTGACCACTTTCTTTACTGGTTTCATTGTTGCTTCTACTAGACTCGGCACAACTTTACAGATTATGCCAATAACCTAAACATGCCGTGCCATAAAACACTTGAAAAGTGCTCGTGACCTATTTTTCCAATTGTAGACAATTTTTTTGGACATGGCGAGCGACAGAGAAAAATTGTGACATCGGTTTTCATTAATATAGGACAAAAAATCATAATGACTTAATATACGACATCGTAGAATGGAATTTAATTGGATTGATTCTATTAATCTGATACTTAGAATTTTTTTCCGTAATACTTCCTACACATACGAGCATGCCGAGTCAATAGATATTATCTATTAACGTTATTTGACTGCGGGTAACTGCCTTAAGAATAACAGTCAATTTATGTGATTTCTGTAAATATATATATAGGTACAGCCTTTTTCACGACTTATAAGAAAAACTGACGTGCATTGAAATTAAAACTTCTTAAATTTCAACAAATGTTTACACATTAAATTTTTGAGAAGCGGCAGAATGTAAACTGTTTAAAAAACCTTCAAGAATATATTAAAATCTATCAGTGATTCACACATCTTTTCTTTGTGTTGACTCATCAATCTGGATAAATGCCAAAAAATAAGAATTCTTCCTATTTAGAATCTTTTCGTGAATAAGCTTGCAATGTTTACATGCAAAAAGGTGTCTGTGCGCAGTTCTTGAACTATGTTTTTTGCTGCTTATGAGTAATAGTATTTTAACAAATTTCTGATTTTTAAATACTATCGATTTTTCAAAAAAAAAAAATTGAAATCTCTTCAAGTTCAGAATAATTTTTTAAAAATTTTTTTAAATTCAAAATTTCAAAATTAAAATCTAACGTCAATAAACTCTTAATAATCGTTTAACAACAAAATAACAGTTCAATGAATCATTAAGGGAACAATCCAAACAGCCTATTCTTTCTGCGAATCAAATTATTCCAATAAAAGCTCTGAATTTCTCCCTCTTAAAACCGACACGTGATGAAGTCATCAAAAAGAAGAACTGAAAAGAAATCGCAAGTTGTTGTTTCATGATGTCACTTGATTTTACGATCATTCCTCATTTATTTGCTTATTTAAGTTTTATTGTTTCGGATGAGTTGTTGGCGTATTCTTTTAATTTTTATTAAATGCGCTATTTTGTATCAATCAGCTCAATTGGAGAATCACGACAAGCATAAATTAATTTTTATTGTAAACAGTCACAACAAAGGAGTCATGAATTTATGCTTTTTGATTTTTAATGAGACTCAATGGCGTTGATTAAAAAAGAACTAAAAAACTCCCTAAGAATGTGTGGATAAGCGTGTGCTTCACGCAACAATTATTGTATTTTAATTAATAATTAATACGCTACAACTGCAACGGAAGAGGATTTATGTATTCTAGACTTTTAACCTTGCCTGCTATCAACTTTATTACTTTTTATCGTCGTTGCTGTATGCTAGATAACAATATAAAGGAATTTGTACAAACACAGACTTTATTTTTTGTGACTGAAGGAATTTTTTCGTTCAATATTAATTTAGTGTTTCAAGTGCGAAATATTAAATTTGATATGCTGGATGTGAGCAAGTGTTGCTTTACTTGATACATTCTTTATCATTCTGAGTGTCTGATAATTTTGATAAGCTAGAATGGCTAGGATTTTGATTTATTCTCAAGATTCTGTTGACATCTATTAAGTCCTAGACATTCCAATTAACAGCACTGCCAAAAACAAATGAAATACATTCCATGAACTAAGAATCTCTAATATCAAGTTGTCAATTTAAAGATGTCTGTAGGCTAAGTTCTCAATTGACTGAATATCTAAATCACGATCAGCATGTCAAGTTAGCAACATGTCAATAATTTTAACTGTTCATTCATCAAACTTTCTCATTGAAATTTCATCATTTATTACGATCATCGAGATATGACAAACATGAAAGGTTGGCAAATGTTATCAAGAGGCTTAAAATAAAATTAATGGGAAATAAAAGTTATCAGGCAATTCTAGTTAATGGAAATGTTGATCAATCTTTTGAATGACTTACTCGTAAATTTGCATGAAATCCTTACTCAACTGAATAAATAATTTTATTTTTTATGCTGGAAAATTAATTTTTATGCGCTTCAATATTTTATTTTATCAGCATGACCTTCTACGCAGCATAATGAATATCTGGAATTGTTTTTATTCTACTCATGAAGAAAAAAAAATCTCATTCGTGTTTTCAATGTAAATAATGATTTTCCATACCGTTTTTAGTCATAAATTTATGATAAAATATTAATATTACTGTATCGTACTATGGGAAATAGAAAATATGTTATCAATGAAGTACATTCGGAAGTTGATTAATGAAGTTTGTCGTTTGTTGATGATTTGATAAAATCGTATGTTGGTTCCTTATACTTTTAAAGGGGTTTCGACTTTTGTATAGCTTTTGTACCTAGTTCTAAATTCTAGATTGAAACCAAGCTTCGATTCCGAGTCAAACTCATTCAGAATCTCTTTATTTAATAAATTTCAATCAAATTTCCCACAAGAACTGCGCCCAAAACCATCAGCCTTGATAACTATTGCCAATCTCTCTTGAATTACTCAACAAAACATGTATCGTACCATAATGAGAATTAGAGCTAAAAAGCTGCTAATTTATAAGTTTCAAGATCTTAAATACATGTAAGACTATATATCTCATTCCATCGAACGCAGTCAAAATAAATGTTTGTTCAAGTATCGAAAAACAAATTTATATATTTCTCATAATTATAATTAGCAATATTGTTACTAGTCCGTATGCAAATTTATTAATATTTTTTTATAGAATGTACAGCAACACCTCCAGCATGTCTAAAACTAATGAAGTGAAATATTCATTTATATTATGTCTAAATTTATCTACAATTTATTACTGAATCTTGATAGGTAGAAACAAAGTGACCTTTAAGAAACTTTAGAGCTTTAAATGGCAAAAAGATCCATAGATCTTGTTACTTACTTCGCTTGCTTCATGTTCATTTATGTCTTGTTGAATAAGCTTGCATCGACATTTTAAGTTAACTCACGTTGCGAGCAACAAACTTATTTAGCGAGACTATTTGATTGAAGTGATGAGGAATTTGACATAATTATTTGTTACCTGTTTATCAACTGAAAACGTTGATGCCTTTATTCTATTTGACGTTTGCTTGACAACTATTGCTTCACTTACTCGTATTGATTTGTGTCTCAAATATTGAGATATTTTTTGGAACTAATAATGATGAAGTTCCATTAGTCAATTTTTGTTAAGCTTTGTAGATATTGTTTTTTAGCGCTTCCGGCATAATAGCTGAAAGCTTCTATT